CCGCATAACATGTCTTCTATCCACCAGCAGATGGTGTTTTCTATTCCATGTTTGCGAGCGGCAGCTACCATTGATTTAAAGGAGGTATTATCAAAAGCTCCTTATATGTCAAGAAATTCTCCTAGGACTATTTCTTGGCTACTGAGTCCTCTCTCTATCTTGGTTACAAGATGATGCAGAGCAGACTTACAAAATTTTGATAGGCATGTTTGTTTGTATGAAATGGCCTCTCTATCAGAGTGGTTTGCCAGACATGTTGATCAATCAGTTTTTCCAATCCTTTCAATAGAAATGACGTCAAAGTTATTGGTCTATAGGCCTTTTTCACGGCATACGTTGGACGTCCCGGTTTAGGTATGAAGACAACTCTGCTTTGTTTCCAGGTATTTAGTACATGTTTATGCACCAAACTTGCCCTGTAGAGCCTACAAATATGCGGGGCCAGCGTTTCTATTGACTGTTGCAAAAGCACAGGCAGTACCCCATCTGGTCCTAGTGATTTGTATGGATTGAAGGTGCGTATTGCCCTTGTTACTTTTTCTGTTGTAACTACCCGTTTAGCAGTTTCCCACTCTTGGCTGGAGACCCTATTTGTGAGAGTTCCAGTTCGTGTGGGTTTGGTTTGCTGCATTCGAGTTTGTTGTGCAATCAGGGAAATGGGTTTTAAGAAGTAGTTTTAATGTTTTTATTCCAGTTTTAGTGTATTCCCCTGTTTGAGTTTTTAAAGTCCCCACGGGGTTTATTGGATATTTTGCTAGAATGCGATGGAGTCTGCATCTTTCAATTTCCTGACAGAATGTTCTCCATGAATCCCTCTTAGATTTCCTAAGTGTTTTGTTATACTCTGTGAGTGTTTCGGTGTATTCCCCCCACTCATTCGTCTTTTTAGCCTTATTAAAAAGTTTACGTGTTTTCCATCTGAGTTTGGCGAGTTCGGTGTTCCACCAGCTCACCTCCCTAGAAGTTGTCATGTTCTTTAACGAACAGTTATTGTGATATGATGTTATAATTGCGTCCCGTAGTTGTTCTGCAACTTCATCTATTACATTTTTAGTATTAAGAGTTATTTTAATGGTTTTTAACACTGCCCTCAGCTCCACTCCGTATCCAAACCAATCGGTATACATCTCCTTTATTGGTAGTTATAGATAATATTTATTTGAAATTGGAAATAATGGTTATGATAAAGCGGTATTTTTCTTATGGTAATCGTATTGTAGTTCATAAATTGTCGAATACTCTTGACAATAACATTTTCTCCACAATTTTGTTAAGGTTAAAGATGCAATTTTTAAATATATTAGTATAATTGCTTACTTATTCTGTTTGTTATAGAAATATTACACCTTACATCACGATTTTGTAGCAATAATTGTGATTTTACCATTTTTTTAAATAATCATTTTTTTTGTATATTCTTCGTGGATACTGTCCTGGATTTGTCCTGTTTGTGTCCCAAATAAATAAATAAAAAGAGAAAACATGTATAAAATAATAAAATTATTTTTTTTTATAAATAACGTATATTTAAATAAAAAAGTAATCTACAAAATAAAACTCATCATTATAAGGTCGTAATGTGTGTATAAAACGTAATAATTTCCTGTATTGCATTGTTTGCACTGATTGTTGTCTTTTATTTCATTCGTTAAATTAACTAGAGGGTAATCTCAATGGACAGTATAGTAGATGTTAACTGTAAAGTATTTTTTGGAATCATATAAAGGGATCGAAAAAATATACAAATTTTCTATAACGTCCATTTCATAATCAAATTAAAGGAGGCTTCAATATTAGAATGACCATGTTGAAACATGAAGGAACATGGTGAAATATTGTCGTGCAGAAGCCCACCCTGTGCTTTTTTTACTCCTTGCACGCGGTATGAAGTCTAACGGCGCTGGCAATATAGAGACAAACGCGCCGCTTCGAGAAACTACCGGATTGATCCCTTTGCGTGTGAGTCATAGAAAGACAGTTTTCGATCGTTCTGCAAGGCCTAGAGAGTTCTAGTACAGAGTTGGCTTTATATAAATAGCGCGAATTGTCTATGGACGGGAGATTGAATTTAAGTGTTGGACAAAAAAGATAAATTGCAATAAATAAATTAGAATTGTGAGTTATAATAGTGCATAAGTATTATATAAATTAATTAATACGTCATAAATAAATTGTAAATAGTGTGTTTTAAATAAACTATAAAGAAATTAAACAAACGTTACAATATTGACGGCTTTATTTTTAACTTTTCAATCAATGGAAAAAATAAGCACAATAAACTAAATTGAAATATTTTTAATTCACCCTCAATTCACACTTTTGATAAGGAGGAATTTTAGAATAAATAAGATTACCTTGCTTCCTGTAGGTATAATTATTAATATTATTAGAATAATTCAGTTTCAAATCATTCAATTCCGGATTCAACTACTTTGAAAAACTCAAAGATGCTGAAATGTTTCATATTAAAAAGACAGTATCAGTTTTCAACCTATACAGGGTGAATTTTAAGTTGATACTTTTTAACTGCATATGGAAGTCATTAAAATAAATAACTATTTCAAAAACTCTAAAATAAAATACTGACATTAAAATGTATCCACTACGGTCCTGTAAATAATATGTTCAAAGTTTTCAACATTCACTGAAATGTTGAAACACAAGGTAAACCGTTCAGTGTTTATTTTGTACAACATCGAATAAACACTTTTATGCATACAGTGTCGGCTACTAAACGTTTTTACAAATCCATGTGAAAACTACAGAGAGTTAACATTAGTACAGAAAACGAATAATATTAGTGTTGCCAGTTTATACGGTCCGGGAAACGTTATAAGAAGAGTTGGAACATCTGGGGGGGTAATTTATGGGTGGTCATTTTTATATTTTATAGAATATATCTGTTATTTACGTTTCGAGAAGAAAATTCTTCAAATAAACGTTACTTTTTATAGTATTCTCTATTAGTCCAGTAACTGAAGACCTGAAAATATGCAAAGCTGTCATTAAGTCGGTCCAGATTTCCTTTGTGGCTCAATTCTTAGGTCTTAACGGTTGCTTTCAAGGGCGAAAACTTTTACCAACACTGCTAGGTCAGAAAGGGCTCAAAATGGCCCCTAAAGTCCGAAAAAATGGTTTCCCGGTAATATCCGCCAAAATATACAAATTAGACAATTTTTATTTAGATAAAAAATGAAGATCGTATCATTATCTACAAAAATGGTCCCAACCATTTTTTTCGCAAGACGAAAACGGCCTTTGAAAAAGCCCGAATTTTTGCACTGAATAGAAATGTTAGTTTCTCACTGAATTTCCGCTCGAGGGAGTTGGGAATACATTGATTTTCATGTTTTGGACTTTGGAGACCAATTACAGATGGCGCCAGCGGCATACCTCTGCTCACTAAATTATGGGGCCTATGAATGGAAATCCGGGCACCATCTTTCGACAATTATTGGCGGATTCTACGGGATTTTTTCTGTAAAGTAGCGCTTGGGGTATCTCATCTATATTGCCGAATGTTCTGTGTAATTTGCGTTGAAAAATGTAATAGAAAAGTGCAAAAATTTTTATTTTCATATGGCAGTCTCAAATCCCGGCGCTTTGCCTAATAGTGGGTTACTAGTTTTAGAGTGTGATGAATATTGACCCGAGAAGATCCTTTATATTTTCTGCGTCTTTTGCTAAATTTTCGCCAACTTCTATCGGAACAATATAGGTCCAGGATTTCAGAAAAATAAGAAAGTTTCTGAAAAATTTCTTTTATTATAAAAAATATGTTGAAAATACGAAATACATAGCAATGCTTAAAATGTATCATACGTTAAACCATTCAATGTCATCAGAATCATGCTCTTCATCGTCTTGCTCTTGCTCTATTCCTTCCCCTCCTCCACGCGTCCCTTCCCCCTGTTTTTCCAACCCCTGTGTTGCTGTCTCGACAGCTATTTCATCCTCCCCCCCTTCAACCCCTTCTGGGTCTCGATCCATCTCTAATTCTTCCGGGAAAATACCTTCATTTTTGTTATAATTAAAACACTGTGTCGACTGACACGAACCACAGACAGGCGAGCATTTCAGTCGTTTAATAATGTAGCGTCTCCTGCAGGTTTCGTGCATCTTTATAGAGGACTGCTTCTTTATAAATAGGTGAAAATTATCGTCCCTTTCCTTACTCACATCAATTAATTTTTCTAAGCCTCGAGTGACATTTGCAACGTCATCCACAACTTCCTGGGCACAAAGGAAACATTTTGGAACGGAGTCCGCTTCCATTGCTGCACCAAGAGCTTTACAAAAATATATTATTGAAATGTAATAAGAATTACAACAAATTTATAGACTTTATTTTAAATCGACCAAACCTTTTTTCTGTCCCCCACAAACGAAAAACAAATTCTTGAAAATTGTTCAAATAAAAGTTATTTCTCATATTATTTTCTATAATTTGTCTCATACAAAATTTTCCTTAAATGGTCCGTATTCGAGAAATTGGACAAAATGTTAAAAATTCTGATTTTTAAGAAAATTGTTAAAACTAAAAGTAGTTTGCGATATCGATCTCTATAATTTTTGTTATATACATGATTTTTCTAAAATGGACCGTAATGAAAAAATTGGAGGAAAAGTGTAAAATTTTAATTGTTCAGTATTTTCGTTGACAATGAATATATATAAAAAAAATGTTTCGAGTTAGAAGTATGTGGAAAATGTATATATTTAGTTTGTCCTCCACTACAATAGGTTGTACAAAATAACCGGAGAAAGGCTGTAATAACTAGATAGGAAAGTCATGTGTTGGACATATCAGATTATTTGAACATGAAAAGTTTTTTTCTTCAAAATTCCGTTTATTAAAATCTTTCCTGATGATGGTATACGCAAAGCTGATTTATATTTTTCTTTAAAAAAAAATATCGTATCGTATTTTACTTAAAATGAAAATTCAAATACGTATAAAGTTATTATTAAAAAAATAAAATGTATTTCATTTGTTTCAGTTTTAAGGATTAGGAGTAAATATCAATGGAAAAAATGACGGAACTGAAACACTCGCTGTACTTATCTCAGCTGAAGGCCATGCTGAAAAGAAATCTTTTGTTAAAGAAAAGGGATAAGCGAAAAACAACTGCGGTACGTAAATTTTCAATATTAATTTTTTTTTCAAGCACAAAAACGTCTACACCAAAACTGTTCCTCACATTAAGATGAACTTATAACATAAATCTTCACAAAAAAAAAGAATCTATGGAAGGCCTGCACCACTTAGATTTTCAAAGGGCCAGTTCAAAAACCGTAAGTGTACGAAAGGACCAAGAGAGGCCTGAGCAATTTATAAAGAATAGAATGATCAGGAATGGACGAAAGTCTACTTGTTTCAGGACTAAAGATGCCTGGGGACATGCCCCAGAATGAAATGCTAAAGTAGTACAGTTTTGTGAAAAACATCAGAACCACAGAGCTGGGCTGCAAGAAAGAATGGAGCCAAGAATCCATCGCGCTTGCAACCAATAGACATGCTATTCAGTGGTATACGGACGGTTCCAAAACCATAGAAGGAACTGGAATAGGAGTGTATGTGCCGAAAGTTTGGGGAAATACCCAAGCATCTTCCAGGCGAAAATTCACGCCATCGAGAAGTGTATTTAGTTTAACATCGGGAGAAACTATTATAGACAAGAAATTATCATCATGTCCGATAGTCGAGTAGCCATCAAAGCGCCGAGGTCTTACGTAATCAGCTCAAAAATAGTCGAGATGCTTAGAACAATTGAATGAGTTAGGCGAGAAAAATTACGAGGTTGCTCTCACTTGGGTCCTGGAACATAACGGAGTACAGGGTAACGAGATTGCATATAGTCTTGCAAGGAAAGGGACTCAAGCACTCTTTGTAAACCGTTCTGTGGTATCAGTAGTAACATAATATTAGGAGAGATTAAAAAGCATTGGGCAGTAGAAGAACCGATAATTGGAACAATCTCTTGGGGCTGAGACAGGCTAAGATACTTCTGGGTGAATATAACCAGAAAAGATCGGAAGCCTGCATCTACATGAGCAAGAACAGGCTACGTATTGCAACAGGGATCCTTACCTAGCATTGTCAACTAAAAGGACACCTTAGTAAACTGAGAGTAGTAGAGGATAGTGAGTGCAGATTCTGTGAGGAGGAGAACGAAACCGCAATTCACATTCTAACTTCCTTGAGAAAATTGGATTGGAAGGGTCGTTATAGGCATTGAGACATTTCCTTGGTGCATTAGCGACAGAAGGGGTACAATAAATCTTTTAGGTCGCAGTGTATTAACACCCTATTCCCAACATAACATAACATATAAAGCAAGTAGTCGAGGTGGTTTGTTCAGATTCTAAAGAGAAAAAAAGCTCATAAAAAAGGAAAAAGGCAATTAATACCTAAATGCAATTTTGTTACTGAAAAATGTATAAAAATCTATAGTTTGACGTAAGCGGGCCAAAGTAGTCAACGGACAAAGGGCCACGAAAACGACAATGGCGGGCTGTATGTTGTGCAGGCCTGTTCTATGAAAAGTCTTTAACTATTAATATCAATTCAATCTGAAAAATCATTAATAAGACACAAAAATGTTAATGGACCAAACCAGATCCCTAAGACACGCCCATATTCAAAATAAGACTTTCTTCTTGTCAACATTATTTTATCATTTAAGGAAAAGATCCCAAAGAAGTTCAGCTTTAAAGTATCAAAAATGAGTAATCTTCGTTCAGAAGCAAACGAAGTTATTTAACAAAAGTTAAAGACGCTGTTTATTCCGAAACTCATAAGGTTGGGTTAAGCCATTGCGATCAATAAGTGTTAAATATACAAAGCATTTTAGGTACGGTTCTTTTCCCCACAAATGCTGACATCAACAAATACGTCATTTCAAGTTCTAAAATCACTATTACTATAGGCCTTATCTTGCCGCGTGTTCAGCAACCAAACTTACCAACGATATTTTGGAATCCATCTCTCTCAAACCACAAAACATTTTATTGGCAATACGTAAAATACTACTCATTAAAAGCAAGCAACGCAAACTCGCATAGAATCCCTCCTGTGAAGATTAACAACTGTCAGCTTCCTCAAGATGAAAGTGTCGAGTAACTTTGCATGCTCTTCGACCATAGACATCATATTCCTTGGAAGAACGCCTCATATAAAAATAAGAACATTCTCTTGAAGGAGAGTCAGTAGACACTTTTGCAAGTTCCAATAATGTTTGAGTTAATTTATTCATATTTACACAGAATGATGCCATTTCAATAAACGTTTTTTATAAATTAACCTCAAAATAAAATAGGAACAAACTATTCTAATGTAGTGTGACGTAGAGCAGTATCTTTACTTTGTCCACTGTATGAAGTCTAGCGCTGGCTATATAGAGACAAACGCACCGCTTCTTGAAACTACCAGAAAAAGCGGTACGTGGCCATTGAGTCATAAAGATGGAATTCTCGGACATTCGAGATCGTCTAGAAACTACTGGCAAAGAGCTGGCTTTATATAAATAGAGCGAGTTGTCGACGGACGGGCATATTTAATTTAAGTGTTGGACAGAAAAGATAAATTGTAATAAATAAATTAGAGTTATAATAGTGTCTAAGTAATATATAAATTAATTAGTTCGTTATAAATAAATTATAAATAGTGTTTTAAATAAATAAACTATAAATAAACAAACGTTACAGTAGTAACTCAACATACGATGTAATTTTCGCAATATTTCCAGCGAATACTATAGTAACTCAAATTGCTATTGTTTTTGCAGTAAACTTATCAACGAAGACCATAGCAACTCAACTTACTATTGTTTTTTCGGTAAACTTGTCAACAAAGACCATAGCAACACAACATACTATTGTTTTCGTGGTAAACTTGTCATAACAAATATATACTATATATTGGTTTCATGTTGTGTTACCCATATTTCAGATTTAGTTACTTGACTTTTCCCTTGAAAAATTGACTTTGCAAGCCAGATTTTCGTGGTAGTAACTTAGAACATCGATTTTTTGAGTTACTATAGTTTTCGGTGGGGGTGTCGACATTAAGAGAGTAATTGGTTTAACCACGCCCTTTCAATGGGAAGAATGGGATATTGCGGCCCACAGTCGGCGACATAATATTTTATTTCTGTCTATTCAATGGCATTGTGTTTCTATACCCGTCTTCTGGAGTCAGGATTGGAAAGTTAACGTACTGTATGTCGGAATATGTATTGGATCATAGGCCGTAAATCTAAACTGTCCTTGGACAACAAGGTATCACTACGAGTATACAAGTGCATTCTCAAGCCCGTTTTGACTTGGAATTCAGCTGTGAGGTACTGCTAGTGACTCCAACATTAACATCCTACAAAGGTTTCAGAATAAGATATTGCTTGTCATGGTCGATGTGCTTTATTACGTCCCCAACGAAGTTATTAAGCATAACATCGCTCTGGAATTCGTCCAGATAGTCATACATCGATTCAGTGCGAAATACAATGAAAGGGAGAGCGCTCGAATGTGCTGGCCAACCAATTAAATGTGCCTGATGTTAATGAAATGTGTAGACTAAATTGTCTGCTGCCACTTCGTTCAACTTCAAGGCTAAGATAACTTTAGACTCAAGATCACACAGACAAATATACTCTAGATTTAAGATTTAGAATAATTTTTAAAGGAGATCACTCACTGGAGTGAATCTCTACATGTCAACGTGAAGTCAAAACAAATGCTCATTGTACACTAAGCAGATTTTAGACCTCTCTAGGAGATTAAGAAAAACCTTTAACTAATTTAATTTCACTCAACGTTGAAGTCAGGAGCAACATTTGCAATTTAGTTCCATCTTTACAGAGCTAAAAGAAACTGAACTAGTCAGGCACATATTTGCCTATTGGACAACAACCTTTACGATGCGGAAAGTGGATGTATCCAAGTGTTCGAAATAGCTCACTTTTAATTTTTTTATAATTAACAAATAATTCTTTAATTGAAGTTTAAGCGGGATTTATACTGTATCACTTTTGATGTACATCCAAAGTGAATCACGCAGAGTGAAATCATAATTTTGTGCATATTTTCAACCAGTTCTGTGAATTCACCTTTCACGCACACTATCACTGTTTATTTCATGTCTATTCTATGTGAAATGCAAGACAACTTGTGGTACCAGGAGCCAGGATGTCTCATCGTGAAAGAATGCAAGGATTATTAGAGGCAAAAAATTAGTTTCACGTGGATTGATACATAAACGGAACTCAATTATATCGACCTACGGCAGAGATTCGACTTGCCGATGTGCAGTAAATATACAGGGTGTCTGTAAAAGGTCTTCACAAAAACATACCACATATTCCTTAGACCAAAATAAGTCGATTTAAGTAAAATTACCTTAGTACAAAGTTGCTTAGTTTGGGCTCCAGAGGGCCTTGAAGTTACAATTTTTAAACCGTTTTTCCCATATAAATTTAAAACGGCATATGCGATTTTGCTGAAATTTAGTATATTGGTAGAGTTTTATGTGGCAAAAAAAATGGTGTTAAAATTTTGTCCGATAATAATACATAGACGTAGAACTTGATTTTTTTAAATAATTGCACCTTTAAAAATTCTACGCCAATGGAAGAAAAGGAGTTTGAGTATGAAATTTAGATTGCGCAACTCATTTACTTTAAAATAGGTACTCTTGATAAGACTCGATTACTCTCATGGTTTTGACGAAATTTGCATTTTAGTAATTTTAGAACATAAACAATAATTATTAAAATACAAACTTTGTCAAAACCATGAGAGTAAATCGAATGTTATCAAGGGTACTTCTTTGTAGTAAATGAGTACCCAATCCAAATTTCATACTCAAACCCCTTTTCTGCCGTTGGCGTAGAATTTTTAAAGGTGCAATTATTTAAAAAATCAAGCTCTACGCCTATGTATTATTATCGGACAAAATTTTATACGATGAAAAACATAAAAATGTACTTTTTTCATATCTTCTTCAACACCTCTAATCGAGACTTTTAACAAAAATACTCGATTCTTGCCATGTACAATTTGTTGAGGAATATTAATTATTTGCTTGCAATTCGTATACAAAAACATTTATTGTTGGTTTCCATAGTTTCATCTAAATAAAAATATTGTCAAGTTTTAACGATTGAAAGTGTTCTATCTGACTCAATACTTAAAAAAACAAATGCGTGGTTTATTAATATGGCTGTACAATATACCAATGCAGAATATACCGATATGTTACTGACATTAGGATTTTGTGAAGGAAATGCTCGAGAGAGTGTCAGGGTGTACTCTGAAAGGTTTCCAAATCGTCGTGTATCTAGCCACCCAACTTTTGCTGCTGTTGAGAGACGTCTTCGGGAGACCGGTTCCTTTGCTCCCAACACTGTTCATAATGGAAGAGAACGTTTTGTAAGGATTCTTGAAGTTGAAGAAGACATTTTAGAACGTGTTGAAGAAGATCCAGAATTAAGCACCAGACGAATTGGAAGGGAACTAGGAGTAAGTAAAGATGTCGTTCATAAAGTGCTTAGAGAACAATTGCTATATATCCATACCATAAGAAGCCAGTACAAGAATTATTAGTCCATGATCCTCAAATTCGTTTGGGTCTTTGTCGATTTGTTAATATGCAAAGAGAAAGAGATCCAAACTTTGTCAAGAAGGTTCTCTTTACCGATGAAGCGGGTTTTACAAGAAGAGGTATAACTAATACCCATAATGAACATGTTTATGCCGTTGAAAATCTGCATGCAATAAAGGTAAACCATTTTCAGCACGAATGCAAAATTAATGTGTGGGCTGGAATAATTGGTAATTTCATTGTTGGTCCTGTCATACTTCCACGAAGATTAACTGGAGAAAATTATTTGGATTTTCTACAAAATACGTTGCCAGAATTGTTTGAAGATTTACCCATCCAACTTCGGAGAGATATGTGGTTTATGCAAGATGGAGCTCCACTACATTTTTCTTTAAACGTTAGAAACCACTTGAATGAACAATATCCACACAAATGGATAGGCAGAGGTAATGACGCACCTGTAAACTGGTCACCACGTTCCCCAGACCTAACACCGATGGATTACTTTTTATGGGGACATCTGAAATCCACAGTTTACAGGGAACCTGTAAAAAATGAGGAACAACTCTGGCAACGTATTCAAGATGCAATAAACAATCTTAGAGGTGATGAAGAAGTTATGGAAAGGATACATTTTAATTTTCTTCGACGTATAAATCTTTGTATGCGTGAAAATGGTGAACATTTTGAACAATTTTTGAAAAACCTCTATTTTGATTATGTTGTAAATAAATATTTTTGTGAAACCAATACACTCTAAATTATTAAAACAGAAATTTAGCGAAAACCATGAGAGTAATCGAGTCTTATCAAGAGTACCTTTTTTAAAGTAAATGAGTTGCGCAATCTAAATTTCATACTCAAACTACTTTTCTTCCAAAGGCGTAGAATTTTTAAAGGTGCAATTATTTAAAAAATCAAGTTCTACGCCTATGTATTATTATCGGACAAAATTTTAATACCATTTTTTTGCCACATAAAACTCTACCAATATGCCAAATTTCAGCAAAATCGCATATGCCGTTTTAAATTTATATGGGAAAAACGATTTAAAAATTGTAACTTCAAGGCCCTCTGGGGCACAAACGAAGCAACTTTGTACTAAGGTAATTTTACTTAAATCGACTTATTTTGGTCTAAGGAATATGTGGTATGTTTTTGTAAAGACTATTTAATAGTAAATGAGACTAACATGAACGGATCGTTTGTTTAAATTTTTCTCTGTTCCTTTATTTTGGATGCACCATTGGTTCCAATAACGACTCTTTTATCAAAATTTGGTAGTATGTCAATATGTTTCGTCGTGCATCTCTAGATGAAACAAAAATAAAAGGCATTTTACACTTATCACTTAGGATGATTCCTTCGAGATGATCAATCAAAGTCATAAATGTAATTGAACCTTTTCACCTCGAGCCTTTACCTTCTAAGGTGAATCAAAAGATATTTTTGGAATGTTTTAAACAAAATATTTTCTGAGAGTAACTACCATTGACAGATGAAATCAATAAATTTTCAGCTAACCTATTCGTAATTAATTAAAGTATTATTTCCACGATTTCATTTATTGAACATTATCAAGCAGAAGAACCATTACCAAACAGCGAGCCAAAGATCTAGAAGGTGTGCCACACCACAGGTAGGTAATCAAATTCCTCGAGAAAAAAAAAGGGTGATTGAATATTGAAACTATTTTGTATAGAATCTCTGTAGAGAGTCTGTGAGAGATATTTAATAGATCAACAGACAGGTGTCGCACATATTGGAAGTTTAAAAACTTAAGTGCAATGAAACTGCGATTATATTTTATTTACCTATATAAAATAGGATTTCATTTTCGTTAACTGACGTGATTTTTAATTTTGCAGGAAGTATTACTACCTTTGTACTCGTTGGCAATTTTGATTGTCATTAAAGTAACCATGCCAAATCCAAATTTACCTGAGATGGATACGCCCAGGGGCGAAGAAGAACTCTTGCATAATTTCGGTAAAGTAGAGTTGCATACCATAGCAGTCGTGCCCAATACCTCTGAAATAGTGGTAAGTAATAGTTACTGGTGGTTTGAAAAAATAAAATTGCTATATGTACGAATTAAACTAATTCTAATAATTCGTTTGCTCTTATTACAGTATTTTCTAGAACAAATTGATAATTTATGGAGTTCAGTGAGACAAGGGAACGCATCTAGAATAAGTTGGGTTTTATATGCCACAGAAAAGGAATTAATGTCAGAATATTGGCATAGGCCTAAATCCATTTCGATAGCCGTACTATTTGACAACGAGGATCCACTTGACGGGCCACTTCAGTAAGTCCTTATTTTTTATTAAAAATAGTATTTAGTGAACTACATGCTCTGCTTTTTCAGTAGTTTTTTTAACTATTAGAATAATTCAAATGATTTAGTCCTCTCGAGTTTTCTTAATTAGTATGTATTGTCTAGAAGGAAGATAGTCTCGACAGTCACAAGCTGAAGACATGTTTGTTCAAGGCTTCTGACGAATTTGATGATAATTTCTTTGACATACTCCTTGGTCTCGGTGAAAATCATAATTGAAGCAGTACAGGGGTGCATCTATTATAACATCTTGTTCTATTATATTGTTGAAAAACTTTGATGTGTTGCTTTTGCTGATACATCAAACTATTAAAATCAATTCGATCTAAAAAATCAATAATATAGGAAACTTTTAAATTGACCCAATACGGATCCTTGAAACGCATTCATATTGAACATCTTTCTGTCAGACAAAATCAAGTTATAACATTCAAGGAAAAAATCGAAAGAAAGTTCAGCTTTAAAATATCAAAAATATTGCATATCTTAGTTCAGAAGCAAATGGAGTTGTTTAACAAAAGTTTAGGATGCTGTTTAGAGAGAAATGTCATCAAAAATGGAGAGAAGTGCAGTTAGTGTTTATTCCGAAACTTGTTCACTAGTTTTTTCAGTATTAGATTAATTCAAACGGTTTAGTCCTCTTGAGTCTTCTTACTTGGTTTGCGTTGTCTGCAAGCTGGATACCCTCCGCATTCACGTGCTGAAAACATCTTCGTTCATAGCTTCTGATAAATTTGATGATAGTTTCTTTGATATACTCCTAGATCCCAGTGACGATCATGTTAAAGCAGTACTGGAGAGCCTCTGTGATATTCCATTGCATCTTGTTCTGTTGTCATTAAATAACTTTGATATTACTTTTGCTTACACAGCTTTAAAGATGGATGCCAGTTGTCTAAATAGCTTTTAAAATTCGTTTGCAGGGAAGCAATTTGTTATATGTAATTAACTTGAAGTTTCTTCCTAGTAGCTAGTACGTTTCTCTATATTTCATTTAAATTCCTTTTCGGTTCGTTTTTTTCTTTCTCTACTGCAGTAAAGTATCGTTTATTCTGATTAGAATGCATTGCTTACGTTTGTAAAATTTGGTGCGCCATCTGTTAGCCCAGCAGAAATCTGACTTTAATAGATGTTTGGATTTTTCTTTCAAATGAGACTCGTAATGCACGTCTTTTGTTAACATTCAGTCTTATATACTTATAATCGTTCAATCCGTCTCACAATTATTATACTCGCTCCTAAATAACTCATTTACTGTCTCTTTTCTAGAAATTTTTCGGAAATTTAGATTTTTATTTCTGTTCTGACGAAGTACATTTCTATTATGAAAATGTTTCTCTTTATTTCAACCCTTGTTCTACCTCTTTTAATATTTTAATGGTCTAGGGTGGTTGAGCGATAGCCTATTAGGTCAGTGTCGTGCTTGTTTTGTACATTTAGTTGATGTATTAACAACATTACTTTAAATAAATGAAACTACGAGGATAATACACACTTTTTTTTAATAATCGAATGGTTATAAATTTTCTCAATTCTCTAGTTCATTTAAAAATGTATTAAAATTGTTATAAATAACTATTTTAATTAATTTCATTAAAAAAAAATTAAATTTTTATATTTTTTGAAAATTTATATTTTCTATTCTTATCTTTTAATTGTTTTTCTGCGATTTTAAATTTGTAGAAGTATACAGGGTGAGTCGGGAGGAACGGACCAAAACCAAGAGTTCAATGTACACATAAAAATAATGTAAAAAAAACTTATTTCTTTTTATCCGATTTTTGTTTTCAAGTTATAGGGTAAAACAAAAGTTCATACATTAACATTATTTTAATCATAGCGTGTCATTGAACTCTTAAACATTTTCTGCTACGTTTATGAAGAGTGCCTATTGTTCTCTTAATTGATTCGTCATTAATATCGGCAGTAATATTTTGAATACTTCGAATTAGTGCATCATGAGCGTATACTTTTACAAATAAAAATCGGATAAGAACATATGAGTTTTTTTTGCATTATTTTCATGTTTATAATACACGCCTGGAGTTTGGTTCGTTACTTCCGACTCACCCTGTATTTTTAATTATCTGTTCGAGATTGTCAATTTTAACTGTTAAAGTACCTACTAAATAGCGATGTCAATTTACATATATATAATTATGATAATTTAACTAATTTTGAAAATTTTTCTTAAAATGCATAGGATATTTTCATTATTAAAGAAATGTGATGAATAAGAACAAAGAAACTGAAAATATATACCATGTGGTACAGATTTTTTAAGTTTTTTTTTAATATTTTAGTTTTATGTTTTATTTTTTTTATTCTATTATTTTTTTTAGGTACGAAATTCGGACGAACCCCTCTATAATTGGAACACCTCCTACGTCAATTCTTTATAGTTCGCCATTAGCGTGCAGAGATACCAATAACAAATGGTACAGTTATGCGAGAGTGATCCCAGCTATGGAAGGGGGAGACAGTTGTCCCGTTAATCAGTATTACTTTTCTGGATTTTTGGCCCTTCAAGCGCTAATCGATTACACCAGGATAAAGGTGAATATATTGTTAGTTTAACGAAATTGATGGTATTTATGATGAATACAAAGTTTATTATTATACTAACCAGGTAGAGATGATGATTCGATTTCAGCTCGGAGCTCTTTAGTTTATTTTTACCTTGAGGGTTTGGGTATATCACAAAACAGGAAATAGACAACTAAAAAATTTTAAAACAAATCTTAGACCTTAAAACCTTTTAAAACTCGTCTTTTGCTTTAGATTGATACGAATTCAGACCTTAAAGTGCCTCAATTACTACTGGAAATGCTTCCTAAAGCGGCCCATACCGGAAATTGGATGTTTTTAATTCGAATCATTATTCCCATTTACATGGTTATGGCGCTATCACAATTCATCGCCTATCTGTTGATTTTGATTGTGGGTGAAAAGGAGAAAAAGATCAAAGAGGGGATGAAGATCATGGGACTAAAAGATTCCGTGTTTTGGTAAGAAATATATGGAGTGGTACACAAAAAAATGTTTCTTAAATAGGCCATGGAAAAAATCACGTTTGTCAGAGCATTAAAATTCTTCTTCTTTAAATGATAGTTTGGATTTAATGGTTTATCTTGTCATACTCGTAGTAGGCCAGAAATATTAATTGTGGATAATTCGTTTTTCTATATAACTTTATTTGTAACATGTTAAACTTCTATTCTTAAAATAAATTTTAGAATAATGAATGCGCAAATAAAACTTTTCAATCTTAACATATTGTAAAGAATTTGTTAAGTTTGTAAGATAAACTTCTGTATTTTTTTTTATAAATATCAGTGCTAGTAAAGTGAAAGGCGATATTTTTAGTTATGCAATATGCAACTAATCACTTTTTTTTGGAAAATTTATTGGAATTACTTGTTATCTCTAAATGACACTAAAAATGATAAAACTAAAAAATATAAAAATATTATTTATTAACTTTGCAATAAATGCCACAATTCGCCCTTAATTATTTTTCATATAGAACAATATGAAATGTTTAATATTATAACACTTTTTTAATGGTTTTTGCGTCTTTGATCTGTAAAAATCATAGAATATATATTTTTTCTATGATCACTATCCAAAGTAGGCTTTTGCACATTCAAATCTTACTGGAAAGTTGCGTTTTCCATGAATTGTCATAGTTTGACATTATTGCTGCATATAGGCGAAAATTTACTTTTTGCACATGCCTATTTTCATTAGAAAATTTCATTAGAAAGATTGTTATTATAAAGCTAATCGGTATTTTAAAAGAAAATGTGGACTAATCTGAATCATTTAGTTGAACATTTAATGCTCAAACTCATTTTCCTTAATATTTAAATGATAATTAAAATATTAAAAATAAATTACCCTGTTTTTAACACTCATATGTCTTGTTGGTGTAGAGCCTAGCGCGTTTGTCTTTGAACCAGTTATTATTTATTTATTTTTTAATTTGATTTTTTTGTTTGTAAAATTAAATAAAACTTAAAACAGTGTAGGTATGAGCCGTTAATTTGCGATTTGAGTATTCTAACCGATGATCTTGTAAGTTATTTTTAAGATGTACTTACTAACAAATATTTTTTATGGGTATCATAAAATTAATCCTAGAGTAAGCAGGCAACACAATATACACAACATACTTTACTTTTAGTTTGATAATCAAGTTAGCCGTGTCTGTCAAATTAACGTAGTAAGATTTGAATTCGGCAAAATAAAAATATATACTTTTAATATCGTGTGATCGTAGAAAAAATCTTGTGTGTAATTCGAGCGGAAAGCTATTTGTCGCTTACGATAAAATGCCGCACTCCGCTGCACGTTGCGCGGCAACTTTTTATCTTAAGCGGCAAAGTAGCACTTTCCGCTCTTGTGTAAATATCTATTTGCCACATAGCCGTTAAACATTTTTATTGATCGAATGCGCAATGTAGCAGATAACAACACTAATTGAATCAATTGACATAGTTACTTCTACATGTGACTTTTAACTTATCTCTAAATATCCTAGAGTTTATTTTATTTTTAAACAATTTACTGTTTTTCAGGTTATCATGGTTTATTATTTATGGAATATTTGTACTCTTCTTGTCGGCTGTGTGCGTTGTACTTTTATACAGTTTGAAAGTATTTACTAATACCAATTTTTTACTGATATTCGTATTGATCGTACTGTATTGCTTTTCTATAATTATGTTTGGGTTCATGATAACGCCGTTCTTTGATAAATCAGGGGTAAGCACGCACGTTTTAATTAATCATCATTTGATTAACTATTTTACACGTTTTTTCTTCGATTATTCAAATGTTTAACAGTTGTAGAATGTTTTCCTCGAATTTTTCAATTAATATTATTTGAAAAGATCATTCCCACTTCACTGGGTAAAAAAATAAATAAGCTTTGGTCCCCTAAGAATGGAAAAAAATGTTATTTATGTACAGGCGGTGAATATACGATGCGTTTCGTACTATTGGCTTTATTATAGCTTTTAAGAAAATTCATTTAAATTTAAAAATTTATATTTCAATACTAAATATACTCACATTTTTGTCTCCATTTTTTAAACATAAACTATAATCCGTGCATAAACTTTCAAAATCTCGTCCATGTTCTTTTTATGTTATTTTTTAATGTATGCGGAAAGTTAAGAAGAGCAATAAATAACATGCTAGATTAAAAGGGCTTAGTTATTTGGCAGCATCTAACTCCCACTTTTGGTTCAGGCACAGAACCTTGTGTGCAACACTTTAATTGTCAATATTTTTGTAATATTTCAGAATTTTGTTGCTATTTTATTTCCAAATAGATATTAACGTATATAACATAAGTTTTGAGACAAATTTCTTTCTGTCTAGTTACGATTGCCTGAAATTTATTCAATTAGGCCTTGTTATCATAAATATTGACAGCTGTTGTTGAACAAATTTTGTGACATGGCATACAAAATCGAAATACGAAAAAGCATCTATAATTTAGTTGGTCGAATGCATAATGCGGATATTATAAACATATTTCAAGGACCTAATATCTCCAGTGCAACTATTTAAGTTCTATTTACTTGTTTGAACATAGGATTACAAAACAGCTTCGGATAATGTGAAATCTGAAAAGAAAGCTAAATTTGAAGATAAAGTTCTGGTGTGGTACACTATTTCTTCGGTAGGTGCATCGGATCATATGTAGGACATACTAGAGCAGAACCCATCACTGCAGGTCATTATATACAAAGATGTTTGCCTAAATTGTTACGATCACAATAATGATGAAATCGTGTTTTGACCTGATCTAGAATCTTGTCGCTATGCCAGGCAAACCAGAGATTAATTGGAAGCCAATAATTTCCCATTTGTACACAGAGAAAATAATCCACCTAATGTACCCCAAGCATGCCCCATCGAAGAATTTTGGGCCTTATTAAGTAAGAAAGTTTATGATAATGGATGGGAGGCAGAAAATAAACAATTAAGAAAGAGAATTTACCATAAGATTCGGGAAATCGATGTTGCTGCCATCACCTATGAAGTACTTGACAACAAAACTACGACGGATAGAAGACCTTGGGCCGTTAACTGCATGTTACATACGTTATTTATTATTTTTATTTTGTATTTTTATTCTTTAAATATGGGCCAATCTAATAAGTATGTCTTGTATTTTCACGGGTCGTCAATTAAGCTTTCTGACAGTGGTATTTATCAAAAAAAGCTAGTTATAAAGTTAATAGTGCGAAAAATACATTTTCGAGAAAGTATCCCTAATCTAGGTGTGGGCAAAGAAGCTTCATATCTCTATCATTCCAAATTCCAAGTAGTTAGCTCTGACATGGCTCTCTTAATCTGCCACTGTTGTTATAGACGGAAAAATTAAGAAATGATCTGGAAAAAAGGTCTGTCCAAGTTCCTTTTTGAAGGAAAGTTCTGCTTAACGTACCCCACGTTGGGCGCCAATATTACGTAATCGTAAAAGCTACCTTCCCAGTATTCCTTCAAGAAGAAAACTTAACAAATCTCTTGTTAAAATTGTTTCTTGATTTTTCAAGCTCAACATCAGTGGTGGGTCGAGAGAATTAACTCAGACCGACCCATCATAATTACTAATTTAACAAAAAAAAACATGATTTAAAAGAACTTTGATAAAAGCACATCATCGTATCATACAGGTTTGGTTTGGTAATCATCTGGATTTGATAAGAAAACTACATTATTTTTGTGATTGATTCGTGTTTATTTTTTAAAACAATACACTTGATCCCTCAATGATCGAGTGACGTTAAGACAGTCTTTATTTTTCAAGATTTGCTGTCAATATGTTTTACATTGACGAGCCAGTTATACGCGAGTCCATATACTTATCAAACCATATTTTTTATCTTTCCATTTATTTTGTAATACTAATTCACAATTAACTATTACGTTGCATTTATGTAAATATTTTTTAGACCGCTGGAATACTGAGTAATTTTATAGTCATCATAATGAGCATGTTTTATTTTGTGCAAGTGTTCCTCAAAGAATCGAATCCCATCGCCTTGTGGTTCTTATCGTTGATAAGTCCATCTGGATTCGCTCTGGCTATAGATAATGTAAGTATTTTTTGAAAATTCGTTAAAAAATCGATTTGTGAACATCAAAATTATAATTTTCAGGCCATCGTTATGGATTTATCCGGCGAAGGAGTAAATATTAGTAACATTTGGTCTGGACCTGGTGTCCCGTTCGGTGGTAGCGTTATAATGATGGCATTTGATATTGTTATATACGGATTACTAGCATATTATTTAGATAGTATAGTACCCAGTAAGTATGGTGGTAGTAAAAAAGCGATATCAATAAAGTTAAAGTGCATTAGGGTAGAAGCACCAGTAAATGAACCTTCTTTATTTTTAAATTGTGCCTATAATTTTACCACAACAAATATTTACGACAACTAAATTTATGTGATGCTGAAATAATTCATATTCCAATGTTATTATTGAACTAAAGTAATTTTAATGGCTTGCAACAAGATAAAAGGTGAAGGTCAATTTGTTCAGAAAATCCCAGAGAATGAACGCTCAATACCAGTAAATAAACCCTCCTGGTCTATTGATTGTACGGTCAATATCAGTAAATAAACACCCCTAGTCTAGTGAATGAACTAAGAAAGTAACTATCTAAAAAATTAGGAAAATTATTAAAGAAATCAATAAATAATAATGCATTGTAAAAACAAACGAAATACAGGTATGTAGGCAAAATAAGTATAGTAGGTACCAAGATTAGTTATATTAGGTAATTTCTTGACATTCGTAGCGTCCTAGTTTTTTCAGAATCGGTTATACAATTTCTTCCATAATCTGATTTTTTTGGTACAAGATTTGATCTTCTGGATTCAGCCATTTAAATAAATTGGAGCCAAGTGAAGTTTTAACCTTGTATTCATCCTCTACTATACTATATTAACGACTATTCCGGGAAAGTACTTCTTTTGGTATATGACTATTACGTAAAAACCTATGTAAATTTGTTTATTTTCTTTTTCTGGTGTTGTAGATCACCAGATATTATAGTGGCAGTTAACTTATTCTTTCTTAAAGTTGGTTTTGTTTTTAGAATAATAATGGTAAGTCTCTATGGATGTGATCAAATTTTTCAGGACCACTTGCGATTTCGTAAAAATTTGGGTAATTTTCTCAACTCAACACTTTAACACTTTTTAGACAAGTCTGCAGCCCTGTCTCATCTGCACTAAAAATTCTACTTGGATAATTTAGTATGTCTGTACAATTTTCACCCTGTAAATAGTCATGTAATTCCTAAAACCAACCTCTAATTGCTGCTTCCGTAACGGTATGATTTCAGTATTTCGAATGATTTTTTTTGGGTGTCTGTAAAAATAATTTTAACCACTTTCGACCAGGCCTGTCATCAACAAATGGATTTTCTCGTTGGGCTGTCTTTAAAACGCGTTAAACAGAATCATTTACTTCATTAGCATGCACGGGAAATCCCAGAATTGCTTCTGAAAGAATCCAATTTTCTAAAAGATTTTCTTCTAAATCATTTTCCCTATTCGTGGTCATCTTTTCGGAAGGTATTGCTTTTGTTAATTTTTATAACCTCTCTGTCCTCTTTACTATTTTCGTTTATTTTTTATTTCATCACTGTCGTTTTTCTTTGCCTCAGCTGCACTAAAAATTCTACTTGAATCCTTTAGTATGTCTGTGCAATTTTAACCCTGTAAATAATCATGTAATTCCTGAAACCAACCTCTAAATGCTGTTTTCCTAACGAATTCTCGAGACCTTGATATTATGATTTTAGTATTTCGAATGATTATTTTTGGGTGTCTTTGTAAAAATAATGTTAACCACTTTCGATTAGGCCTGTCATCAACAAATGGATTTTCTCGTTGGACTGTCTTCAAAATGCGTTGGACAGATTCTTTTACTTCATTAGCATGCTGTGACAGGCAGGCTTCTGGTTCACCTACAGTGAATCAGGGGGTCTGTGTGGCGCTAAGATGGTGATTCCCGAATAGGGGTTGCTCAGGCGCCAGTTTTGGTAACACAGTTTGCTCTGCGACCCTGTAGTACACCAGAGTATACTCAAGGTAAACTCAGTGGAGTTAAACATATTTCCTGGCGGTCACTGCCACTAAACTAGAATAAAATTTAAAAAAACACTTATCTCCTTTACACCTCGTACCCTACGGTACCCTGAAAGAGAACGGTTAAGAACCAGCAATAAGAGAAACGCAGGAGTAGATAATAAAATATATATATTTACAGAAAAAAATACAATGGTAGTGCACGGTTTTGGCACGTTTGTAAACGGAAAATTAAATAAAATGAATTATTACAATTGAATGAGATTACAGGAAAATAATTACGGTTCCCTATATAGAGAAAAATAAATAAAAATAAATTATTACCATTGAAAAAAAAACTATAGGGATATTAAATAAAATAAATTATTAGCATCGAAAACTAGTTAAATAATTATGGTTCCCTGTATACGTAAAATTTAATAAAAATAAATTATTACAATTGAAAACTATTTAAATATTCATGGTTCCCTGTATACGGAAAATTTATTAAAAATAAATTATTAAAATTGAAAAAAAACTATAGGGAAATAATTGCGGTTCGATAGCACAGGAGGCTAATCGGTCCGGAAATTATGCAACTCTCTGTATACGGAAAATTAATTTTTAGTAATAACAAATGATTAAATATGACGGTAATAAAATGTAAGAAAACAAATGAAATCAAAGTTATATATAGAAAATAAATTTTAAATAAACTTAATAATAAATAAGACTAAAATTTCCACTAAATGAAATTAAAGTATGTATTACCTTTTACTAGTACTGGAAAAATATTTAAATCGGAAATTATATACAATACGGTATATAGAAAGTATATTTCCCCAATAAACAAAATTAAATTAAATTTTCTGGTCAAAATTATAAAAAAAAACGGTAATTAATTAGAACGGAGTAATTCATTTTTAACTATATGGTTGACCAACTGAGAAGTTCAAAAAAATAACAGAAAACACGTAGTTACGACAACCCCTATATTAGAAAAATGAAGTTTACTATGACTACAGCTAAACCATCTACAATGTAAGTCCAGCAAAGGCAAACCCTCCTATAAATTTGAATAAAGTTCTAACAGATCGTCGGTGGCCGGTTCGTCGAACGAGAATGATAATATTTACCACGGTGTTTGGACGAAATATGCGGTGGCTAAAGTAATAATTATTTTGAGATTTGCCAAAGCCGATCAAAACGGTGTGTGAATTAGGAAAGATAGAAAACGTCGGGCTTCGTACAATAATTAGTTGGTGAGGGATAACGGAATGATTCAAATAAAATTAAATAAATAATAAAAAAAAGAAACTTAGATGATGTGAGGCGCGAAAATTAATTTAGACGTCTTTTTGGGAAATTAGATAACGTCGTCGAGATAGAGTACACTCGTAACTCGAGGACGGATCGAACATCCGAAAAAGAAAATGAATTGGGCGGCTTCCCAAAGATAATAATAAAAAAATGAAAACGGGTTGAACCTCTCACTCCAGTGTTAACTGGGCGCTTCTTAAAAGAGATTGAATAGAGTCGTCGAAACGGAGTACACTCACAGGCTAGCCTATATCCAGTCTCAAATAAAAAATTGCCAACGGTTTCCCACTAAGGGACGAAATAGAAATACTGAGCATGAATCAAAATTCTTTCACTTATCGGACGGGTGTCCCAAACTAATTGCAAAAAAATAATAATCGGTTTCTTACCTTAGAAAAAAATAAACGGGGGTCGTTCAGTAGACTATCAATGGCACGGTTACTATCTGGATGCTTCACTTGCCGGTAACAGAAGAGAGAAGAGCCCACGGTGGCCGGAAATCAAAGAGAATCAATTCCCAGTTGTAATAAAATTTATGCTTTTTCCACAGGCAAGCTTGAAGACCGGTAAGCCGGAGTGGGAGGTACCACTACTACAGCCGACTGTTTACAATTTAAAAATAAAAAAATATCCTACTAGTACCTTGACAAATACAAGTAGATAATTGTGGGATCTTTATATGGCGTATATCCCATCAATAAATAAATACGAATTCATGAAAATATAATTTTAAAATAAATTGTATGCCATGACATGCATATAAAATTGTAAATTCTAAAGTCATAATTATTATAAACAATATTTTGTTTCCCTCGCGATGAGTTCAACCTTTTGTCTTCGCTAGAACTGCCACGAAAGGTTATCTAAATGATGACGGCAATTTAATGTGTATGACGTAATGAAAATGAAAATGAAAAAGATATGTAGCATATAAAAAATGTATTGTCAGTCATCAAAAGTCGATAAGGTCTTGATTGTTGCATATTTCTATATCTACGAGTACCTTCACCTTAATCAAAACAAAATTTTAATATGACTCTGTATATGAAATTGATTGAAATTTTTAATTTAATTGTCAAAAATATGTCATCAGTAATGTCAGTATTTTCTATAAATAATGTTGTATTTTAGATCGTGTTCTGGATGAATTATCCATTCTTTGATTATCGAAATTGCCCCGTTGTTAAGTGTTTAGTAATTCTATGTTATCTAGCAGGTTCTTTCTATTATATAAAGAATACTGCCATTGATACAATTAAGAATTACCATACTATTAGGACAATTAGTGTCCTAAATAGAAAAACATTAACGAAAAGAAGGCATTAATAGTTAAACATTCTACGATCTAAATAAAAGTAATTAATCATGAGGTACAAATAGAAATATGATTTTTTTAAATCTTTATTCTTTAAATATCAATGTGTAAATGTACCTATTTGATAAGTTAAAATTTTCTTTTTATTTAGTTATTTGTTTTTTATTTAGTAATTACTATTATGTAGACAGGTTCTTCCTTATGCGAAGAATACTGTCAAAACAAGATATAAGTAAATACTAATTTTGTTGTTCTCTTGGACAAGTATGGTCCTTAATAGAATAAAAAAATATTAAATACACTAGTTACATGTAGTTGGACAATGAAAGTCCTTAATTTAACTACTGGTTGCATATATTTGGACAATTAGGGTCCGTAATAAAAAATGTTAGTTGCATGACTTCGGTTATGTAGTGTTTATTTGCGTTTCGTTATTTTGTACGTTTATTTCATAATTAAGTCGTCATGATTAAAATTGGTCATTTGGAGAGTTTACCAAATAAATAGTCGGTTAAAATGCTTTTTACATGGTCAAAAATATGAAAATAATGTCAAAAATGATAACTAATGATAGAAAAAATTAATATTTTCAATTCGTGGCAGTCAGCGACAAAAAGATTAAACTCACCGGGTTTAATGTATCTGGAGTCCAATCCACGTATCTTGTTCGGAACTTTTCGGAATTTTCCGGACGCGTACTGGATCTACATTTCTTCTTAGTAGGGCCCGTTAAAGAATCCGGGTTATCGGGAACCGCAGCAGGCTCAAAAAACCGAGGTACGGCCAAAAATAAAGCCGTCGCTAACGCGTACTACCCATAAGTATCTCACCAACAAATAGTATCAGATAGATGTATCCTCAAAATCTTTGAAGGTCGGGCATTCTACGGGGTCACCAATTATGGGATCTTTATAAGGGGTATATCCCATCAATAAATAAATAAATAAATACGAATTCATGAAAATATAATTTTAAAATAAATTGTATGTCATGACATGTATATATAAAATTGTAAATTCTAAAGTCATAATTATTATAAACAATATTTTGTTTCCCTCGCGATGAGTTCAACCTTTTGTCTTTGCTAGAACTGCCACGAAAGGTTATCTAAATGATGACGGCAATTTAATGTGTATGACGTAATGAAAATGAAAAAGATATGTAGTGCAAGTATGTCGCTACAATAATTGATACGAAATCGAATCTACAAAATGCCCATTCTCGCAATTGTTAAAAAACGGGAATTCCCGGGAAACCGAAATACGGGGGATCTTCTACATGTCCTCAGGCGGGAATTAATTGAAATATATATATTTTTAAAATTAATTAAAAATAAAATTTAGTGACTTCGTCACAATGCATGGGAAATCCCAGAATTGCTTCTGAAAGAATCCAATTTTCTAAAAGATGTTCTTCATCTGTCGTTAAAATTGGAATGGGGACGATTTTTTGGACCAATGGGACTCTCCCTTTTAACTTGTAACAGAGTGTACTTTTTGGTATTCCATAGATTCTACTTGCACCACTAATCGAAAGTTCATTCTGTTTTACCTTTTGCAACGCCTCTTGAAGACTTTCATCAGAATACTGAAATCTTCTATACTTCTTTGTATCATCCTTCGATCTGCCAAGAAATCAAGAAAAATACACTAATACGTTAAGTACCTAATAGGTAGCTAAGTAGGTCACTACAAAATTATAAACATATTTTACATTTAAGTTGGCAAGTTCATTCACTGAAACAGCCTGATCTAATAAATGAACGGCAACTTAAAGGCCGTTCATTTACTGGACACGGCCATTTAATAAACATACCAAGTAAAACATATTAATCTGCACTTAATGCTGTTCTTTTTAAGGTATATATAATACGTGTAATCCTAGCTTGACCTGGTGAATGAACAATTTGTTTATTCACTAGGTTAACATAGGTTCCAGTGAATGAACGACATATTTTTTACTTTTCCCGCCAATACACAAAATTTTGAGGTTATATAGACTCGTAAATACCTTAAACTGTAAATAATCATTTTAGATAGTCAATAATTTTAAAACTTAGGAGTGTAGAAATCTTATTAAGGGCTATTTTTATATTCATGGTTTCTTATTAGGCCTGTACTTCCACGAACAATCAGCAAATCTGTTGCTACACACACGACTATACCGATTATTTTCTGAAACTGAACTAATTGACGCTTTTGACAAACAGATAAATAGTTTAAAATCATAATAGTAAACCCCTGTGGGGTAGAGAGATGCGACATAATCTTAATAATCGCGAATTAGTTCGAAATTGTTCATTTAATGGTGCCATTCATTCAGTGGTGCTTCTACCCTATAAGATAGAATGTTCGTATGCTCTGTTTTGAATTCACCGGTTTGTTTGTCCTATGTACTTAATTAAAATGTAACGTAGAGTAGCTAGTGCTGTAACTATTCTATTTGTCTTCTTGTTCGTCAATATCTTATGTAATGTAGAACAGAAGTAAAAGTTGGAAATGCTTTTGCCAGTTCTCCCACTTTATACACATAAATTGACAGGTTGGCAGCGGATCTCACCGAAGTGGACGCGATACATTAGCGTACAAAATTATTTTATAGATGTTAATAACAATTTCGAGTGAATAGTTTAATAAATTGTGAATAGCTGTTGAAATTTTGTAAAATTATAATTTGAATATTATAATACATGTTTAATAATTATTTATAATCCATAAATACATGCGATTGTCCGGTTTCGCCGATAGCAATTTAAAATTACTTATTCTATGAAACGACACTGGCAGGTAAACATTACTGTGAAATTCTCGGAACGCCCGACGTGGTTTGACGTTTACCCCATCTCTACCTACCAAAAGACTTTTCAACTTTTACTTTCTCTATAGTATACCTGTTAATTAGAAAATGTTATTTAAATAAATTAATAAAAAAGATATAAACAAAATAAATTTTAAAAAATAACATGTAGAAAATTATATTAGCATGTATCCTAGAATTATAGAAGGAATTGTGACTCGGTAATATAATCCCTGCATTCAAAATAAAATTAAAATAGAGAAAAATTAAAAAATCAAAAAGTAATAAAAAAAAAAGATTTTAAAAATTTTTAAACTAATATAGGTACTAAAAAAATAAAATGAAAAAATTGTAAAAAATCAAAACTTCTTTTTATGTTTTTAGGTGAATACGGTGTAAAAAGATCGCCATTATTTTGTTTCAAACTAGCTTTTTGGTTTCCAAAGAAAACTGTGCAGAAGGTAAATAGGGGTATAGTAATTCCGCTTCTAATACTGGAGTTACTAGACGCTATAATATTCATTCATTTAAAACTTCCCAGTCTTAAAATCTTCCTTCCTGTAAATAATATGAAAAATTTGAAAGACCCGTCAATTTTATTGAGAATCCACATTATTACTATTCATTGCGTTTATTTTCATTTTATTACCCTCTAACGGAATAAAGAACTGTTGCGTATTGTAAAATGTGACACTTCATTTGGAAGCTAATTTTATTAGTAATTTAATTCATAATATAATAAAACATAATTTAATGAAATATGAACTTAAATAATTATTCAAAACGTTAAGAAATACAAACTTTAACAAATTTATGCTACCCATAAAATGGCTTTCAGATAAAGTATCACACTTTACAACACGTAACAGTTTTTTATCCCGCTAGAGGGCATTAATATCAAAAGTAACGCAATGCCAATAGTCATATTGCTGAATTCTCCATAAAATTACCTTTAAAATGATGTGCCACTTCTCTTAGTGCGTAGGGCCGCCGAGAGCCAGGTCGGGCCCCGGGACAATTCTCTACATCGGGCCCTGTGACAAAAACCAAAAAAAGGTCCTTACCTCGAAAATAAATTTTCTCCCTACCTCAATTACTTCTTCTTCTAAAAAAAAAGTCCTCTGTCAAAAAAAACTCCTCTAAGCTAAAACTTTTCCTCCAACTTTCAATCAAATCACCTCCCCTTTCTCTTGTTATGTCCAATTTGTCATGCAGAAACAGAAAACCCTATTGTCGGGCCCCCCTTATAACTCTGCCGGGCCCCCATTTGAGCCCGGGCCCCGGAAATTAGTCCCGGCTACCCCCCCCCCTCTAGTCGGGCCGGTTAGTGCGTTGAACTGAACCATGAGGGCTAAAAATATTTATTGAAAGTGTCCGCTTGAAAATGGAATTGACATTTTCCCATTTTTTATATTATTTACTGGAAGGAAGATATTAATGGTGGGAAGTTTTTAAATAAAGACCCCGTATAGAATATACAGGTTAGGAAAAAAGTATACGAGCCATACGGTGTAGTTACGCCCATCTCTATTAATTGTAGGCTGCAGTGTGCTAATATTCGTAACATGTCGAACAGTATCGTAATAGAATCGGCCAACATATACAATAGATTTATCCGAGGGGCGAGTCACTCCTGCAATACATGTACAAAATGTCCGCAATCCCATTGAAAATCGCCGTATTCCCATCAAAATCAGCGGCAATCGCTAAGAAATCGTCGCAGTCGTTCAGAATTCCCTCGCAGTCTCCCGAAATCTCCCGCAGTCGCTGAGCAATCGCTAGCAATCATTAAAAATGGCGCGCAGTCAGTTGACATTTCACCAATTCGCCATTGTGCTTTGACTAGGCCAACTAAGCCATCTTGTGTAAAATTAAACAAATTGCATTTACGTTTATCGAAAGTGTCGTTCCATCAATTATTATTAATTTTAAAATGCCATTTTTGGCAAAGTTCATCAAATTTCTGATCTGATAGAAGATGGTTCCAAGGTGGTCCAGAATTGTTTCTATTTCACCTGATTTTTTTTTAATGCATAATAAAATTGTTTGTAATTTATTATAGGGGGTCATACACGTTTTAATTAGGGTTTTAAATGTATTTTATTTAAAAAGGAATTATATAATTTATTGACAGAATACATTTTTTTACTTTCCTGTCTGTATACAGGAAAGTATAGGAATCATGATTTTTTTGACGGATTTTTACGTTTTGGCGTTCCCTAAATCCGTTTTGACTATTTTCGCAATGATGTATGTGTGTATTATGTGCGTGTCTGTATACTCAATAACTCATGAACGTATAAAGAGAAAAACACTAAATATTAAACTTAAGCTTTTATTAATCCTCTAATAATGAGTAAATTACATTTAGGCATAGTAGGAAAATCTGGGGGGGGTTACTTTATTGGGGTCGTTTTTCTACTACGAATATTTGTTATTTACGCTTGGAGAAGAAAATTCTTTAAATTAAAGTTGCTTGTGTTAAATTTTTTACAAAAGTGCATATTTAGAATTTTTTAAAAAATTATTCAAATAAAAGTTGCTTGTGATGTCTTTTTCTATAATTTTTGTCCTAGGTATACATGATTTGTACCGTATTCGAGATATTTGAGGAAAAGTGCAAATTTCGAATATGATGAAAACTCAAAAACGGTTAAAGAGAAAAAAAAACATAAAATTTTAAACTTAAGCTTATATCCATTCTCTAATGAACTGATTAGTTTTTGGGCATAGTCAGAGCATTTTGTAAAGGGTCGTTTTTTTGCTTAATAGAATTATTTAGTATAGATCCAAGTAGCTGTTACCAATGAGTTTCTTAGCAAGGTCCAACGTAGAAGACTGTACTAAATTAAGTTCATTAGATATTAAGGTTTGCTTTGTTTTTAAATTTCTTGTTGTTACTTAACATTACCATTATTTTTTTATAGGGTTTGTAAAGTATCCAATAAATAAATATGTGTTATTTACACTTAAAGAAGAAAATTCTTCAATTAAAAGTTGCTTCCGATATTTTTCTCTATAATTTTCCAAAAATGGTCCATATTCGAGACATTTTACAAAAAGTACAAAATTCGAATTTTTAAGAAATTTTTTTAAATAAAAGTTGCTGGTGATTCTCTATAATTTTTGTCCCATACATGATTTTCCTAAAATGGACCGTATTCGATATATTTGAGGAAATTGCAAATTTTGAATTTGGAAAACGGATAATGAGAAAACAACAAAATTTTAAACTTAGTCTTTAATAAATCTTGCAGTCATCTGATTAAATTTTGGGCATAGTCGAAGCTCTAGGGGAGGGGGTACTTTTAAGGGTGTCGTTTTTTTTACTAAAATTAATACTATCTCTGTTATTTACGATGGGTGAAAAAAATTCTTCAACTAAAAGTTGTTCTAAAATGTTTGTTTAATGCATGATATATTTTTAAAATGGACCGTAATAGAAAAATTTGACAAAAAGGGTAAAATTTTAATTTTTCAGTATTTTCGTTGGCAATAAATACATATAAAAAATATTTGTAGTAAGATGTGTGTGGAAAATCTTTAAACATTTACAGGGATAATACAGTAGGTTGTACAAATTAACCGGAAAAAGCGGAAATAATTATTTTTGCAAAAATAGTACACAGTTTCTATAGGGATAAAAACACATCCTGATTCATCCCTTTAGCTTTAGAATAATAGTTGATAGGTGCATTGCTACTATGAGTTTATTTAATTTAGGAAGAAGATATATGTTTAAATAAAGAATGTATAAAGAGTGATTCACAATAGTAGTTTGTGCAACAAAAGTGGATATGATGACCATATGTAATACGTATAATCCACTCAAGTTGTACAGTATATTTTTTTACGACCTACTAACGAAAATTTACAAAATTTTAAAAATTTATTTAGAGATAATTAAAATAAAATGACTATTTTAAAAATAGTTGATGACTTTTATTAATTTATTAAATAAAATAAACTTTAAAAAACAAAAACAAAAAAAAAATTTATTTACGATATAAGTATTTGTAAATATACTCGAATATCTTGTGAAATGCTTTTATTTACCGATTCTTCACAAGAATCATTCATTTTTAATTACATTTAATCTCAATAACTAAAAAAGATATTGACCATTAGTTTGACAGAATTGTGACTAATTTAACATATTAAAAAATGAAGTTAATTTAATAAAACAAATTTCACGTTTTTTTTCACGTCCTATACAAACTTTTTTTTTTTCTTTTTTTGTATGGGCCATACATGTCCTATACAAAATTTAGTTCTCCTGATATAACATCCAGCTAATGTTTTTTACTCGAAACCAACTAGAAAGCTACACATTGTAAAAATCCTTCGGAAATGCCTGCAATTTTGAAAAAATAGTAGCAATCCATACGGAAATCGCCGCAATCAGTACGGAAATTGCCGCAATCAGTACGGAAATCGCCGCAGTCAAGGCATAAATCTGCGCAGTTCCGAAAAATCTATTAAAGTCATGTGGAAATCACCGCAGTAACTAGAAATCTGTAGGAAGTCATATGGAAATCACCGCAGTCATCCAGAAATCGCCATATGATTGCGGAAATCATGTGAATTCGGCAATACATGTACATTTTTACAAAGAGTGATTCGCCCCTCGCATTTATCTTATTTTCTGCTCGGCTCTCGCAGGATAACCTACGCTGTTGTACGTTGCAGTAAGTCATTTGGTTTGAAAATATTGTAAGTTTCCCTAAAATGTTATTTCTAAAATGTCGCTCTTGGCTTAGATACACTAAAGAGGAAAAGGTACTTATTTTAAAATGGTTCTTTGGGAGGCAATTCTGTGGACGAGGTAATAAATTTATTAAAACGAATGAAAGTCGGTTAATTCCATACCGTTTATCAATTAAAAGAATAATTAAAAACTTTTTTATGTCTACAACATTGTCAAAAATTACATAATAATTAACAAATTATCTACACAACAGTTATTTTAAGAATTATAAATTATTTGTGACTTGCAAATAATTCTTAGTTATAAAATATTGCCTTTATTTAATTAGAGTGAACAACATCCCACAGTAGTCCATGCATTACTAAACTTTAGCTTACGAAGCCTAATGATTGATAAAAGTAGGTAATATCGAAAGCAGTACAGGTGGTAGATATCGTTAGCGTTATATATAAAGTATAGAGATAGTCGTACTTGTAGTGCCTATACCATATGGCTCGTATACTTTTTTCCTAATTTGTATGTAGCAAGAAATGTATGTTCTTTTAATATTCAGGTCCCACTTGCAAACGGTGAAAGTTCCGAACATTCCCTAAATAATACGGATTATACGTTAGACGTCGAACCAGTTCCTAGAGAAATGCGGGGCAGAGAAGCAATAAAAATTGTTGATCTCTATAAAACATTCCAGGTAAAAAAATACCGCATTTCCTATAAAATAGTTAAAAATCATCCATTTTGACAAATTTTATGTTTTTTTTTATTGCAGCATTGTCAGAAACCAGAAGTGAAAGCCGTGAATGGAATTAACTTAACCATATACGAAGGTCACATAACGGCGATATTGGGTCACAACGGTGCCGGGAAGACGACTTTGTTTAATATACTAACGGGTTTAACTGCCCCTACGAGCGGTACAGCATATATTTTCGGAAACGACGTTAGGTAGATACCCTTTATTATTTTTCAAAAATTTTCATAAATATATTATTGGTTATATTTCAGAGACCCCAACGATATGGATCGAATCAGACGGATGACGGGCGTGTGCCCGCAACACGACATTTTATTCGATAATTTGTCGCCTAGAGAGCATTTGGAATTTTTCGCCGCCGTCAAAGGCATACATCCCTCGCTCATAGAGTTCGAGGTGATGAAAACCCTAAGGGACATCGATCTGACAGACAAAGCAAACTCGTCTAGCAAACATTTAAGCGGCGGTCAAAAGCGCAAACTGTCAATTGGTATCGCAATAATAGGAGATCCTAAAGTAAGATTTTTAATTTTTTCAACTGTGAAATAAAAATAAATAAATAAATAAATAAATAAATAAAGGTTAAAATAATGCCTCACGTTGGGCGCCAAATTGTTAAAACAATCTTTTGACTATTTAAATATTTAGTACGTCATGTGTAAATTTCGCAGTAAAAAATACTAATGTTGCACATAGAGGTATTTTCATGATAGAACCGCTCAAAATTATTTTTTGACATTTTTCGAAAATAAAACTAAAAGAAGAAAATAGTTTTTTTCAAAAATAACTAGGAAATATGAATATTGCTGAATGGATATAATTTAACATTTTATTCTAAAATCTATCCTTATACCTGCATTATTTTGTTATATGATTGTTTTTGTTTTAATAGTTTTTTATATACAGTTTTATGCAGTATGTCAGTAGATCAAGGTTGATACCCTTGAAAGAATTACAGCTTAACTCATTAACGTAAACCCTCCTATGTAACAGAGCTGGGTAATTCCTAGTTAAAAAGTAATTAATAATTAGAATTACTTTTTTTATGTAATTTATAATTGTATTTAAGTACTTTTTTTATTCAAAGTAGTTTGGAATTGTAATTGCAGCCAAATCTGTGAAGGAATTGTACTCCGTAATTATATTAATTTATATTTTTTAAATTGTCTAAATACAATTACTTCTCATAAGTACAATTACTTTTCCAATTACAATTACATTTATAAGCACAATTACATTTTTTAATTACAATTACTTTTAAATGTGTGTTTGTGAGATGCATGTGATACAAAAACATAAAATTTCCTGTTCGAACCGGTCAATAGAGCTCGAATTCGCATCCATATCATTTGCTTGAATGCATTTGAGGAGAGCGTTGTGCCTTGAAGCAGTAAAATTGTTCAACCCAACAAATAATAACAGTAAGGGGATAAGTAGATGCATTTATCCTTATTTCTAAGACGTATTTTGTTTTTATATTATTATAAACCTAATTTATGTTGCATAAACATTATAAACTAAGAAAATATAGTACGAAGTGGTGCAAATAGCAGTTTTTATTGGTTAAATACTAAAAACTACTTATTTACGTTGCGTTGGTATTTCTAGTTATTATTCTAGTTTTCTACATTGAAATGTGGGCGTAGAAAAAACATATTTTTCTATACCTACAGGGATATTAGCTTGTCTACGCACAGATTAAAAAAGAAAAAGTAAGCTATTGCATTCAACTGCAAAAATATATTTTATATCTATTTTAAGTAGTGAGAACACTGCCAAAAAAATAAAATCCACCAATCACAATTCATATTTTGGATACCAAACTACTATTATTTTTAAAATTTTAAATAAGTAACAATTATTTTGTCAAACTAATTATCAGTGTATTTTTTAATTATTGAGATTAAATACACACTAAATAAGGTATTTTTGTTTAGAATCGATAAATAAAAACATTTTTATTTGAGCCACAATTTGAAAAAAAAAATTAAATTTTAATCAAACTATCTGAAACTAGTTTAATTACCTACGAGTATTAAAACCAAAATCATAAGGTGGCGGTGAAGCTGAGGAGAGAGCATCTGCCTTCCATGCGAATAGCCTGGGTTCAAATCTGGACAAGGGACTAATTTTCTTTTATTTTATTTTATGAATTAGTAAAAAACATAAATTATTTTAAAATTAGTTATTTTGTCCTAATAACCTAAAATATTATAGATTTTCGTTAGTGGGTCGTACAAAAAATATACTGTACAATTTCATGTACACTCTTGTTGCATAAACTACTATTTTAGTTTCAGTATAATTTGTCAATAATAATAACACATTATACAGGATAATTTACCACGCCTCTGACGTTTATAGCGAATCGATAAAGTTTTAAAATTGCTCCTATTTTTAAGTATATATGATGAGGAAAGCCACCTTTTTAAAATTATTTTAAAAATGTTTCATATCAACGTTTTGTGGTACACCCTGTATTTTATTACATTTTTAGATTATCTCTGAATAACTAATTTCATTGATCTATCAGACTTGATTTGTTAAAAAATGAGATTTTTGAATTTTCAAATTTTTTCTGTCAAAACTATTCATAATTGATCAAAATAGCTAACTTATTCCTTCCTATCATATTTCTTTTATTTACTACCTCATAATATTTAATTAAAACAAATACGAGGTCGTCAAAAATTCAGACTAGGTAAAATATAAAAGTACCTAGGCGTAGGTACACGGACTTTTGTATTTTTGTTGAAAATCAATAAACTTTCAAAAGTTTACATTTTATTATTAACTTAGCTGTTCCATTTTTTTATACTACTTATCGATTTTGTCTTTTCCCTTAAGTTAAGAAGACCTTAAATGGTACAGAAAACAATACACTTAGGGCTGGTTGTATGAAGCTTACTTAAAATTAAGCTCAGTTTTAGGTGATACATGTCAATTTCCGATGCTATATGTGCAGTCTAATGTTTTGGGAAATAAGCCCTAAGTGCTAAATGGTATTTAGACTGTACCTATACCATACAAAATTTGTCATGTGTCACCTCAAACTGAGTTTAACTTTAAGTAAGATTCATACAACCCGCCCCTAAGATATCTTTAACTTTAAGGAATCCTTAAGGAAATCGTTGCAAACGGCTGTTAGTTTGACACTTTGAATTACTTATTCAAAATTTTTATTTGCACCGGTCCGGTTGGTTCATGGTTCCTCAATTTTATCTTAATTTGTTGTTTTATCGGCAAAGTAATTAGAAAAGTAATTATAAAAGTAATTGCTAATTCCCTTTTTCATGTAATTGTAATTAAATCAATATAATTACTATTTTTACAACATGTACTTTGTACTTGTAATTAATTCTTTTTTTGAAAAAGTACTTTGTAATTGTAATTATTTTTAAAGTACATGTAATTACCCAGCTCTGCTATGTAATAGGAGTTTGATCAGTTCTCTCTTTATGATCCATCCCGTATAAATAATATATAGTAAACATAAGAACAACACTATATTGTATTATTCAATCAGTAAACTGCAAAGCAAATTTAGAAATCTTACATAAATCAAAGCCAACCCTGTCAGCAGCAAGTACAGAGAAACGGATTTCGAATTCCAAGAAAACTATACCTTTTTTTCGAAAATAAACTACCCTGTAAAAAATATGCTGTTGTTAAATTTTTATGGGTCCTGAAGTTTCATTTTGTCAAACGGTGTAGGAAATCCATTTTAATTGAGAGGTTCAGCTATATTGTCCTGGCGATGGATTTATTTACAAAGTATTAAAGAGATCAGAGCCACTAAAAAAATTATACTATCTCGATGAAACGTGGGTAAGTGCAGGACAGATAGTGTCTAAAATATGGCAAGATAATTCAGTAAAGAGCCATCGCCCAACTTTTGTGGAGGGATTATCTACAGCTTTGAAGGACCCAATCAGGCAAAGGGCAGCACCGAATTGTTATTGAGGAATATTTTTTTTATATGGCGTATATCATCAATAAATAAATACGAATTCATGAAAATATAATTTTAAAATAAATTGTATGTCATGTCATGTATATATAAATTGTAAATTCTCAAGTCATAATTATTATAAACAATATTTTGTTTCCCTCGCGATGAGTTCAACATTTTGTCTTTGCTAGAACTGCCACGAAAGGTTATCTAAATGATGACGGCAATTTAATGTGTATGACGTAATGAAAATGAAAAAGATATGTAGTGCAAGTATGTCGCTACAGTTACACATATCGGAAGTGACAGTGGATTTTTTGAAAAAGCACTCTTGTGTTTATATATTAAAAACAGTAGTCTACCACGAGGACATGAATGCGGAAAGCTCTAAAAAGTGATTTACTGAAGTGGTACAGCGTGTAGAACTAAATTTAGTTATTGTACTAGATTACGCTTCTTATTACAGCCGACGAGTTGAACGCATTCCGACCATGTCCAGTAGGAAAGCGGATATACAAAGCTTGCTTCTGAATAAAACAATAACATTTAATGAGGACGTGCTTAAAATGGATTTAATGGACCTAATAAAGGAAGATCACCAAAAATATATTCAATACGTTGTCGACACAATGGCCCGTGATCGTGGTATTACGGTATTAAGGCTTCCCCTTATCACTGCGAATTCAATACTATTGCACTAATTTGGCGCAAGTGAAAGGGTTTGTATCTCGAGAAAATATAATATTTAAAATAGCCCACGTTCAACGTTTATTAATAACCGATATAGAACGTATAAAACCTGAAGATTGGCAGAATACTATTTCCCACGTAATTAAGGAAGAAATTAATATGTGGCGCTTGGACGTAACTTTAAGTTCCGACGATGAAGACTCCAGGGATAGTTCTGCAGAATCACTGTATTAGAATATTTTATACAGGGTGATTCATAACTATTGGGACATAGATTAAGAGCAGGTTATTTAGATCAAAATATGGCGATAGGACCAAATATACCTTAATAAAATATGGCTGTGGAATAAGATACAGGGCGTTAAAGTTGAATTTTTTTTTCGTTTTTTTTTATAATCTCACTGTATATTTATGAATTGTTATCAAAATCGACTCAAAGGCATATCTTTGGAAAAGGGATATTATTTTATGTATTATTTCACATTTTTTTACAGAGAATGATTCCTGATGATGAAATTAAGTGGTAAGTTTTTTTGCCAAAACTTTTTAGTGCTTTTTATTAGAAAATATTACTTAAACATCATTTCTACGTAATATTGGTACTCCTGTTTAAACACGATAATTTCACCTGTTTTCGAGAAAAACGCAATTGAACAGTTCAGAGTCTCAGAAGGATATTTCAAAAAATATTTTATTTATGAAAAGTGTGCTTTGGACTGTCAGATAATTGTGTCTGGTAAATGTCAGTTCTTGCCAATGAATTATTTTTGCTGTGAGATTATATTCTATTGTTGCATTTTTTAAAGCTTTTTCGACTAAAATGCCTCGTTACAATCATTTTACGAATGAAGAAATGCGGGATATGGTTTGTGTATATGCACAAGAAAATTTTTGCGGTCGCATGGCAGCCAGAAGGTATGAATTGTTATATCCAGACAGAAGGCAACCAAATCACAAAACTTGTGCAAATCTATTTTATCGTTTGGGTGAAACCGGGTCATTTCATAGTAAAAATCTAATGAAGGAGATGAAATTTTGGTTCGAGTAGATGAAAATCCTGAAGTAAGTTCACGTCAACTGGCAATAACAACAGGAGTAAGTCAGTCGTCTATTATTAGAGTTTTAAAAAAAGAAAAGTTTCATCCTTATCACTTCACTCTTGTTCAAAATTTGCTTCCAAGAGATCTCCCAAGACGGTTACAGTTCTGCCAACGTATTCTCAACAAACATAATGATGACCGAAATTTTATTAAAAATATTATGTTCACCGATGAAGCGACTTTTACTAGACGAGGTGTTTTTAATTATCGAAACAGTCATCACTGGGAAAAAGAAAACCCGCATGCTTGTAAATAAAGACATTTTCAACATGAGTTTAAATTTAATATTTGGTGTGGCATTATAGGCGACCAACTACTAGGGCCATATCGTCTTCCTCCAAATTTAAATGGAGATTCCTATTTTTTTTGCAAAATACTTTTAGAGATATTTTGGATGATATGCCACTAGATGTAAGAAGGAAAATGTGGGTTATGCAGGATGGAGCTCCACCTCATTTCCCATTAGTTGTTAGACATTATCTAAGTGACATATTTCCTCAACGTTGTATTGGCAGAGGAAGTAATTTTGAATGGCCACCAAGAAGTCCTGACTATAACCCTCTTGATTTTTATGTATGGGGACATATGAAGTCCTTAGTTTATACCCAGAAAATTAATTCACGACACGAACTCTGGAGGAACATACAAAATGCGGGTAATTTTATAAGGGGACAGAATAATATTTTCTTTGCCATCCGAAAGTCCTTTATTAAAAGAATTAGAAAAGGCATAGAAGTCGGAGGAGGTCACATTGAACATTTAATTTAAGTTTGCTTTTTTTATGTTAAATTGTTTTTAATTTTGCTTTACCGTTGAAATACGCTACAAGTTTTCTTATTGTGTTATTTGGAATCCCCTTCTGAGACACTGAACTGTTCAATTACGTTTTTCTCGAAAACAGGTGAAATTATCGTGTTTAAACAAGAGGACCAATATTACGTAGAAATAATTTTTAGGTAATATTTTCTAATTAAAAGCACTAAAAAGTTTCGCCAAAAAAAGTTACCACCTAATTTCATCATCAGGAATCATTCACGTGGCGACCCCTGTAACAAAATGTGAAATATTACATAAAATAATATTCCTTTTTCAAAGATATGCCTTTGTGCCGATTTTGATAACAATTCATAAATAAACAGTGACATTATCAGAAAAAAAACGAAAAAAAAAATCAACTTTAACGCCCTGTATCTTATTCCACAGCCATATTTTATGAAGGTATATTTGGTCCAATCGCCATATTTTGGTCCAAATAACCTGCCCTTGGCCTATGTCCCAATAGTTATGAATCACCCTGTAAATTCAGAAGTAATGTAAGTGATAGCTTACACAATAAACAAAATAAATTAGAAACTTAAATTTTTAAGTAATGTTACATGTATTCTTTTCTTCTCTAATTTAAGCTTGTATTATACTTTTATTGTTTTCTTTATTAATTATTGTAATATCTAATGGTTGATATCTTTATTATCTCTCGTAACGTTCTCATGCATATTGTACTCTTTTTTTGTAAAATGATATATCCGTTTTAAATAAATAACTTATAATTAGATTGTTATTTCAACAAAAATAGATAATCAACCTACTTTCATCTATCAATATTCACTAATACCCCGTTTACACATTCAATTTGCCAATATAATGTTTCTACGCCACTGGAAGAATAGATTTTAGCAATGAACATGCATAGATGACTAGTATGACACGTGTAACCGATATCTTCTGCAGTCATATGGCGCGTGATACCCATGTGGATACCATACATAATTCACCGGTATAGTAGGATGTACGTGAACAGGGATTAATCACCTTCTCCAATATTTGGTTCGAGTACAAAAAGGTTTTTTGGCTATTTAATTTTCTTGACTTTGGAGAGGGTTTATGATACAAATACTCCTCCGTGCATTGGGAGGCAAAACCCTAAACAGTTTAAAATAAAGTTTATTACTTCGTGTGTAGAGTTTGCAATAAATTCCCATTCAAATATAAAATGCCTTATATTTTTCAATTATTTTTTAGATTATTATATTAGACGAACCCACTGCCGGAGTTGACCCTTATTCAAGAAGACACATGTGGTCTGTATTGCAAAATAAACGTCACGGACGAGTCATTTTGCTTACTACGCATTTCATGGACGAGGCCGATATTTTAGGTAAAACATTGCACAAAATTATAAATCGTCGATTCAAATAATTTCGGATTTTTTTTTGTAGCCGATAGAAAAGCGGTAGTGTCCAAGGGCAACATCAGATGTTGCGGAAGCTCGCTATTTTTGAAAAACAAATTCGGCATCGGTTACCATTTGACATTGGTATTGGAAGGGCACTGTAAGGAACACGCTATCAACAAACTGGTTACCACGCATGTACCGAAGGCGGAAAAAGCCAGAAGACATGGCAGAGAATTGAGTTTTATACTACCTCATAACGCCGTATCAAACTTCGCTTCTTTATTTTCGGCGATAGAACAAGAGATTAATAATAAAAGTAGCAAATTAGGTATGTAATAGATGATACAGTTACTAGTACATCATCAAATTTATATTTTTCGAGTCATGGTATGTTTTTTAATGATTTTTACTAAATATCTTAATACAGGTAAATTGTAGACTAATAATAGTTATTATCAATCTTGTAGAGCTTATAATTTTGTATAGTTCTTACATTTAATTTTTTTTCTATCACTATTATTTTAAGACCTACGGCGCGCTGACCGTGTAATATGAGTAAGTTTGGAAATTATGTTGAATATTTTCCTACAGGTATTTCAAGTTATGGAGTATCCATGACGACTTTAGAAGAAGTGTTTCTACATTTAGAAAGAGACGAAGAGGCGGAGGAAGACACCGTTGACAATCTATCGAAGAAAATCGTACGAAATAGAGCTTTAAGTCGAAGTCTGAGCTTACAAAATAAGAGTACCAGTTATCAGTCGTTGCAAAACGAAAGTAACAATGCGCTCATACCAGACGCCAAAGGTAAGTTTTTTTTAACGAAAAAATTACAAACAAAATATTTATCTTTAAAGAAGACAAACTTTTGTATCTTGGTCCTCGCTAATTTAATAAAGTTTCGAAAATCTAATTCTTCTGCAAATGTTTTCTATTTTCGACACCTTAAAACGTTTCCTCACTATCTTGATATCTTGATGTAGAATTTTTTTTAAAATACGCAAAAAAAGGTTGATTTTTATTTCAAGGGGGACGGACACCTTTCTATAATACTCTGTAATGTCATATGTCATTCCCCTCCCCTACGTCAATCTAACCAATACAATTTAAATAGGGAAAGTATACCAAGTATGACACATCGTCGGAAAGGTAATTTTATGGGGGATTCAGTAATATGACTGTTCATTGCGTTCCTTTTAATTTTAGCTCCCTCTAGCGGGATAAAAAGTTATTACCTATGTTAAAATGTGACACTTTATTTAATTTAATTTTATTAGTAATTTAATACACTACGTAATATTATGTTAAATAAATCAAAAATTAACTTAAAAGGAAAAAAGAATGCAGTATTACTAAATTTATTTTGTTGCAAGTACAATATAGAGATATATAGGTTAATGTTATGTGGTGCATTGGATTACTAATAAAATTAGCTTTCAAATAAAGTGTCACACTTTACCATAGATAATAATTTTTTATCATACTTGGTACTTTCCCAATTTAAATTCCGTTGGCTAGATTGATGATTTTATAGAAAGGTGTCTCCTTTGAAGTTATCCTCCTGTTCAGGAATGGTTTATCCTGGCTGCTGTTTTCTACTATATTTCTAAAATTATGAGAAAACAAATGTCAGAGAGTTTGCCCATTTTGAATTATTGTCAAGGAGTTTGCTCATTTTGAACTCCCATTTCCTATTTACTACCACAATTTTTTTCTGAATAATTATATTACCTATAATGCGGAATTTTTTATTTACAATAGTTCAAAATAAGATTTTTGGGACAAGTTATATTTATTAATAACTTCCAAGTAAATAACAATGATATCTCTATTATAGTATTTATTCCTCGTTGGAAAAGAAGAGGTAAGATTATTTGCTAGCTGTCGTAAATTGTAGGAATTTGTAGGCTAGTAATAAACTTCTAAAACTCATTTTTTTAATATTTATCCAAGGCAGTTATCGATTTTAGAAATTTAGTTATCTCTCTATACCTATATCCTTATTGATGGTCTCTATTAATCATGCACAAATCCTACTTCCTCTTAAAATCACCAAAATTAGTTAAGTTTCCTACCCAAAAGTATAGATGAGGATTTGGGTTTTATTGTGAAGATGTGGCAAAAAATAAACCAACCGAGACTCGATGACACTTGTTTAAAGCAACGATGATAGATGGTAATCGTTGTAGCCGACCCAAAAATTGCTATTAGGGTGAGGACAAGAGGGAGATAATGCTAAATTATTTTCAGAAGAATACAGGTTTATAGGCGGTTTATGGTCGAATAACCACACAGCTCCAAGACTTGTTGGTCCCAGATACCCCTACCTTAGATACCTTCTACCATAAGCTCTGATTATGATGTGTAGCGCGAAGTGTGACATTGCTGTGATAAAATCTATTCTTCTAAAAATAATCCAGCTCTAGAATATAAGTCGTTTGGAAAATTACTAGCCTCACTTTTTTCGCGCATTAGTAATGGGAAATGGTCAAATAAGTGGAAAGCTGTATTAAAACAATGACACCAACTGATCATCAGCGCTGAATGTACGCCCCAGGTGAATAGGCTCTTATGCTCTGTTTTGATTGGTTAGAGATAGTTATAAACAAACGTAAGATATAATTGCGTTGCTAACTGGAATAGCAGATTTTGACTTGGAAAATTGTCGAATATTTTTGCATAACGTCTTGAACACGTGTGATTTTGTTATATGATTCAAATAATAATATTATGTTGGTTGACGCTCAGAGATTTTATTTATTGATTGAAAGGAGTCCTTTACACTACAATTTTTGTGATATTTGAACTGTACACTATACAATCCATTGAGAGCACAAAACTCGACGTTAAGTGCTCGATATGACTCACATCTGGCCTCTCCGGTTAGACCTGTGTTCTTTCAGCATGTTGAATACCCAGGCAGCACACATTAGTATAACTAACGTATTTTATACGTAATACTCGTTTAATTTTGGTATTGGTTGATTCCGTATACGTTTACAGTTTACGATTATTATACATACCGTGTTTTAAACGATATATTATACGTTTTTTATATACATCCTATGGTATATAATTGTAAATTTGTCTACGTTTAAATATAGTTAACAATATACGACTATTTTTAGTTTGCCATGAACTATTTATATACAGTGGGCCTAAATATACGTTTAGGTTTATTTAAATTAAATTCGTTTAAATTTACATTATTATACAATATGTTTTCTTCGTTTATAATTCCCGTTTAAATTTCGTCTTGGTTGATTTTTTAAACGTTTACCATCTACCATTTTTATACTTAACGTTTTTAACAGATAAATTAAACGCTTTTGTTTGTCGATACTAGTTAATATACCTATATTATTCTACGTTTAAATATAAGTCACCTTAAACGCATAATACCAGTTTACGATGAACTAGTAGACAGAAGTAAATAATATGTATATATTTAGGTTTATTTAAATTAAAAGCTTATAGATATATTTATTTACATTACATCCACATTTTTTTATTTATATTACCTGTAATATTTATAACAAATTCCCCATACACATGGAACTATTTTTAGATGGCGGATGGAGGACGACGTACTAGTGGTACGGTCTTTTCTCATTTCTACTCATGCGTATGTGTAGTATTATTGTTCAGTGTAGGGAATAGTTTGTGGGAGCAGGTTCATCGGTTCGTCCATTTTCATTTATGTACACGTTTTGTGGCATGTTGGTTTGGCGTCCTAGCTTTTACGATATTGATTAAAAGCATAGGTAAGTTTCTATTAATGTTTTAATTTAGCTACTCCTTTAATAATTGTTGCATTTTACAACAACTACTGTTTTATAGGTACGTACAGTGTGTTAAATGATTATAGAAACTTCAAAACATAACCTTACTTTTGTTTCTTTTATTTTTATATGTATTTTTTGGGTTACCTAGTTATTCCAAGCATACTTATTTCCTTCTGTTTGGTCAGTTGTTTTTTATTTAATAAAATGTCTAATATAACTCTGTCTCTGCGTCATCTACGTAGAAAAATAGCGCAAAATGTTCAAGATGCTTTAAAGTCAAATCAATTTTTTTTTATTCCCAATGAAGATAACATTAATAAGGCTTCGGACATTAATATATCATCTGATTCTATTATTTATAATAATTTCCAAGAAAATAATACGAATTTAATTTCGGAGCTTTTAGAAAATATTTCACCTGAAATTGAGTTAGATTTTCGTTATAGGAATGGGAGTGGACCAAGCGACTTAACCGACCGAACGATTAGGTGTGCCATGCAAGATTGGCTTAAGTTAGCTAAGGCCCGTCCAAAGCGTTAAGCTAAGATTTTTATTTTCATATATATTTTTTGTTAGTTAAAGAAAAGTCTCGTTTAGTTTGTTATTCAGTATTTTAGTGTTTATTTTTTTGTATTTATTTATTTTTTAGTATTTTATTGTTTATTTTTTTTATAATTAAATATTGTTCTGTACATATAACAAGTGATCAAAAAAAATTTATAAATATTTAGGTCAATTACAACCAAAATGTAAATACGAGTAATGCCTATTTCTGGTGTGTACACACACCTGCTATGGATAAAATCTAAACTATCATTTAAGAAATATTAAAATTTTTCCATGGCCTCTTTTAGAAATTTTGTTTTGATCACTTTATTTAATTTGTGTTTGAAATACATTTAAAACAATATCAGTTAGACGCATTTTACACATTAATAAAAATCATACAAATATATCTAATATAGACGTATAGTAAAACAGGATAATTAAAGGTAGATAAAGTAGTAATGTTAGACGTATAAAAAATAAAAAAAATATTCGTTTATAGGACGGACATTTTCACGTATATATTGGGTAGCATATCAACAGTATCCATACGTATATTGTAGTACATAAAAAAACGTATTTTATACCAAAGTGAATTCGTATAAATATACTACAACTATAAATCCAATATAGACGTATAGTAAAAACGTTTAATTATAGAGGATACATTCTTAGTAATCGACGTTTATAAGGCGGACATTTTCACGAATATATTTGGTAGTACATCAACCGTATTCATACGTATGGTAGTACCTAAAAAAATACGTAATTTATACCAAAGTGTGCTGCCTGGGTATGTTTAACCACCATGGCGGGAACTGTACCGAGTAGGTGAGAACTGTACCGTGTAGGGCGGTCGTTTTCTCTAGATATATCAAGGACAAAGATAATGTGTAATAAGAAATATGATTGTAAAACAAACAAAGAACGATAGCTGCTTCCCTATATGAGATAGGAAAAAATGCTTCAAATAAGTTGTAGAGGGCATTGAAAGCTACGTTCCAAAAATAACTACCAATATACAGGGTGTCCGATAAATGTATGAGTTATCGAAGTAATGTTTTTTTAAAGGAAACACCCTATATATTTTTACTCGATTAAATTTCTTTGAAAGAGTGTTTCTCAAAAATATAGGGTTGTATGGATTTATACTGGGTGGTTAGGAATTTATGGTGGGATTTAGGTAACAAAATGGGTTTATTCAACATTAAATATCTCTAAATCAATAATTTGGAATACATTTTTTTTTTCTGCCGAATATTCTCGAAAATAGTGTATTTTCATTTCCTATTCATAATTTTACCGAATGGCGCTTTTCCCATACAGGGGCAACCAAAACTCGGAGCCACTTTTTTCTCAGTTTTTTTAAATGGAACACCCTGTAAATGAAGCCATACCAGGATAGCCCATACCATGAGCTTTCAGAAAATGTAGGGTTTGCCTACTTGATTTTTATCGGAAATGTATCTAATTCTTAAGGAAAGTATAAAAAAGTTATAAAAGCAATAACTATTTATTTCATTATTCTCCTCCTCGATAATTAAATGTCAAATTCCTATAACGTTCAAATGTTTCAAGGGTGATTTGATTTTTCGCTGTATTACAAGATCAACTTTAATGAAAGTTCGAAGAGCAATTGTAGATATGATTAATTCGGGCATAGCTTAAAATGTGAGATTGTTTAAACATTTGCTGTGAATATACGCTTTTTTAAATAATTGTTCGTTTATAATAAATAAATAGTTATTGCTTTTATAACTTTTTTATACTTTCCTTAAGAATTAGATACATTTCCGATAAAATCAAGTAGGCAAACCCTACATTTTCTGAAAGCTCATGGTATGGGCTATCCTGGTATGGCCTCATTTACAGGGTGTTCCATTTGAAAAAACTGAGAAAAAAGTGGTTCCGAGTTTTGGTTGCCCCTGTATGGGAAAAGCGCCATTCGGTAAAATTATGAATAGGAAATGAAAATACACTATTTTCGAGAATATTCGGCAGAAAAAAAATTATTTCAAATTATTGATTTAGAGATATTTGATGTTGAATAAACCCATTTTGTTACCTAAATCCCACCATAAATTCCTAACCACCCAGTATAAACCCATACAACCCTATATTTTTGAGAAACACTCTTCCAAAGAAATTTAATCGAGTAAAAATATATAGGGTGTTTCCTTTAAAAAAACATTACTTCGATAACTCATACATTTATCGGACACCCTGTATATTGGTAGTTATTTTTGGAACGTAGCTTTCAATGTCCTCTACAACTTATTTGAAGCATCTTTTCCTATCTCATATAGGGAAGCAGCTATCGTTCACCCACGCATCGTTGATACACCCTGTAATACTACCAGTCAAATGCGCTAGTTCATTGTGATGTCATTTTGGTTCCACTGACATTTAATTCTAACCAAACTTTTAACAAAAACATAAATAAATTTGACATATACGTTTTTACTGTTTTTATTTTATTTCATAAAAAATAGTTTAAAGGTATGTAATTGGTAACTAAACGATTGTATATTTGATATATGCTATCTACTTACTTTAGGAATATATTTATAAAAGTAAAAAAAAAAACGATATAATTTAGGTAAACAAAACGAACAAAACGCACTCAAAAAATCTACTGTCATTTTAATGGTCAGTGGAACCATAATTACATCATCACTGAACTAGCGTATTGGATTCGATAAGCAGTAATGTGTCAGATGTCTTTATTTTGTGGTCATCCAGTTGCCAAATATTATAAAGTGGCAGCAATTCTAGTTTTGGATGGAAAGCATTTGGAAATGTGTAAATGAGAACCCCAATTCTCCGAACAAAATAAGGCAATCCATCCCCACAACCCCAAGGTGAAAACAACACCAATTAAAAATTGACAAAGACAAAAAGAAATATATATATATATATATATATATATATATATATATATATATATATATATATATATATATATATATATATATATTCCAGGGATCGAACCTGGATCTTTGAGTGTAATCCTCAATACATTTACTATTTATATCACAGGAGCTACGACGGTCGAATTGGCAAATTTGAAGAAATTAAATTACAACTCTAATCGCTACACACATTCCTCCCTCAGCTCCCTCATTTCTTCCTGTGGCCAATTCATCCGTAACTATGTGCTCTGTTGGACTAATTGGTAAACGTATCGAGGAGTAAATTGAATGATCTAGGCTCGATCCCAGACTTAGGCACATTTTTCTTTTCGTCCTTTTCAATTTTTATTTCGTTTGTTTTCACCTTGGTATTGTGGGGATGAATTCCTTAATTTCATTCTCACATTTCCAAAGGGATCTTTAACCGATATTCTCTCCTTTCTCCCTACACTGCACCTATGTACTTTTCTATTTCGATATCGTCGAAAGACAATACTTTTTCTTTTGTCCGATGTGAATGTGAAGGGAGAAAATAGCTGATTTAATCTTGCCTTTAAATCCAATATGTACGTTTTGGCCTACAGTTCTTATCGGAGGTTGAAGGGCCCCCTTTGTTATATTTTATGAATTTAAAAACAGTTAAAAGGCCAATTGTAAATTTTATTTCGGGGATGATTAGCTATATCATAGAAACTGCTTTATTACGTATATAGCAATATTGTTTGCGTTCTTTCAGGTGCAGGTGATTTTGGTAGGAGCGACTCCATAACGCCCACCAAAGGCATCGGTTTGGAATCGGTGGAATGTCGACCGAATTGGTTCCAAACATTGCTCGCTCTTCTAAGGTTACGCATCCTTCGACTGAGACGCGATATTAAGAAGCTGTACTTTATGATTTTTTTACCGCTAGGTTTAGCCATACTGGGTCTATTGATCAACAGCCTCGAAACCGGTCAGATTAAAACCAAATCGTTGACGTTGAACATGACCACTTACCCGAGATTGCCGATAGCCGTGCACAACGGGTCCGATGCCAATTTAGATGATTTTCTTATTCAATTACTGGATTTGGGAGCCACGTCTTTGGACGAGTACGACGGGAATTTTTCGTCGTTGTTGAGCATATCGCCTCACATGCTGGCATTGAATATCAACCGGTTCGAATATCCTGATTACAGTATAACCGTTCTGTACAATGACACTGAACAACACAGTTTGCCTATCGCCGTTAATTTAATTAACAACGCTTTCTACAGGTTAGTAAACTAATTTTTTATTGTTATTTATACATTAAGTCTGCACCGGAGGTAGTGAAATAGCCATAAATATCGATGAATTTTAAGTTTTAGCTCTTTTATCTTCTCTTTCAATCCATAACTTTTTTCCCAAAGATGAATTATTTTAGTGAGTGATTTGGTGTTGTAACAAAAGATGAGATCGAAACTGTTGTTTTACGTTTTTAAGGCGAAAATTGTTAGCTTCACGCTATACCAGGAGTTCTCAAACTTTTTCAGTTCGCGGCGCACTTACAGGTTTAGTATTTTGTCTAGGCGCACTATAGTTGCTAGATTTTTTTCTCACGTCCCCCTGTTTACTCTATACGACGCACCAGGAAGCCGCGGCGCACACTTTGGGAACCACTGAGCTATACTATTGAGCTTTGCTTTCAATCTTAGCAGGCATATACCTTTTTTAACGTAACTGCATGGTATTATGGGGTCACCAATTGACCCAAATTTAAAACTTGTATATGAGAATGTTGAGTGTCATTCTTAGGGTTGCCACCTGTCCTATTTTCAAGCAAAATGTCCTTGCAACTTTTTAAAGCTTAAAATGTCCTTTTTTTATGGCATATGTCCTGTTTTACTCTTTGATATCTTTGAAAGGGACCTGGCTTGTACAAAAATATACAAGCTGAGAATTTTTTTTTTTAGAAGTCCAGTAGAAGGACGAGGACCTTTTGTATACCGGATCCCCTATCAGCATCATAGTCCTTTTTGCACTTTTCAAAAAGGTGGCAACCCTAGTCATTCCCTACACAATATAAATTATATTTGATTAAGCAGACTATATGAGATGCACTGGTTTTTCAATATAAAGTTGGATATTTAAAAATTAAGCTCACTGGCTTCACTATAACTTTTATTCTTACATTAACACATAAAATACGAGTTTTTACATCACTGAATTTTATACTACACTTTTACTATTACAATTTTAGTTAGAGAAAATTGATCACATAGCCATTTACTACAGTATTGGCCAAAAAATAAAATTCCATTATGGCAGTATGGCTTGTCGATGCAAGCCGTTTTGTTAGGTGGGTTTCGGTCGGTGAGGAGTTTGCTTCTGCTATATACGCGAAGAAAATGGAAGGTGGCAGTTCACGTCGGTTGCTTCAATCAATTATTTGAAGAAAAGTAACACAATCGCGTTCAATTGTTTCTAGAAATGCCAGGAGCGATTTAGAGTAAGATGTGTCGAACGAAAATTAGAAAAACAAACAAAATGCCCAAATATCACAAATATGTTGAAGTATTTCAACAACTTGTGTAAGAAGAAAACTCGATAAAGAAATTTTTGACAAAGTTTCTATTGATTAAAGAAAAACAAATATTTACTAAAAGTGTAAAGAACATTTAAATACATGAAAACATGCATCAATTTAGTAGGTTTCTGTAAAATTGGTCCTAAAACATAAAAGACAATGTCATCGCCTTAGGCCGTCCTATGCTTTCTTTAGTTTTAATCAAGCACCCTGTAATAAAAAAAACTAATTAAAATATTGGTAAAAAAATGACTGTAACGTTCTCTCTTACATTTCCTACGCTGTGTGCAGCAGTTACAGACAAATCTTTATTATTCTTCAGACGATCTTGGTCCTTCTTCTACAGCATTGTCATTATTTATTATATCATACCTAAATGTCACAGTCAAAACCAGGTTTAGTTGAACCTCCCCTGAACTCGAGTGTTACAACTAGATCTAAAATATTTTCAAGTTCTTTCTGAAGTTTTAGCATCATTTTAAAAAAAACTTTACTAGTATATTGGGGTCAGGGCTGACCCAGACGGCCTATATTTTCAAAACAGTACAACTTAAACCTTCGCTCGATTTAGAAGAGTATTGGGTGGCGCAGCACCGTGTTGCCAATGCTAACGAATTTTCGTAAAATTTAATGAGCATATGGTCAGCAGTATATCAGTTACGGGATAAAGGCGCAAGTTTCATCTTTTTTTTTTCCACAAATTTTATCCGAGGTGGCATTAATGCTTTTTTATGAATTTTGCATACAAGAAACAATACTGATTTTGGTAAATGTTTCAAGGAAAAACAATATAAAATGCTAATACGTTTATTTTTAAAGTTCAATTTAAAAAAGTTTCAAACCTTGGATAAGTAGTAGTAAAAAAAAATCGCCCTGTGGAACACGCGGTCATATTGGCCGTGTTCATCGTCGTCAAACATGTTGTAACGCTGAGTAAGCGGTGACGATGAACTGTCAACCGCTGCAGCGCTTTTGAAGAAGCATAAAAGCGAAAATAAACTCGCTTGTTTGCTTTAAAAGCATAAAATTGACCTTGAACCCCTGTCAAATCCGTCTTTTGGCATTTTGTTAGGTTATGTGTTTGTTTATTTATTTATTTATATTTTTAAGGTTTTATACCCTAATAGAGTTGATTAGTTAAGTTGTATTTTAATATAATATTGTATTTATGGAGGTACCTGTTTGAAAAAAATAAAATAAATTCCATACGTAGATACATACACGTATGCTTAAATTATTTCATTTGGACGTTAATGGGATTCCAGTAAGGAATATGGATAATATAACATACCTACATATTATATAGTTTTAACACAGTTATTCAAAACAGACGAGTTTTGTTATTAAAACTGCACCGATGTTTTTGTCATGTAATGTATATAGGGCATTAAAAAATAAATAATAATAAAAGTATGACATTTTATTTACAAAATAAATTAAATATAAGCAATTATATTAAAAAGGGCCCATCTTGGTTTGTTGAACCTATAAAAAAATACCTCATTACTGTATACATTTCAAATAATTTTTGCTAATAAGTCGATCTACCTATATGACAACATTAAATTTGTATATTTATTAATTTCCAATACAAAATATATCATTCCTATAAAAGAATTACTGTATGTAGTTTGTCAACAAGGTATGTATAACTCTATAATACTAGACAAATTTTATTAATACATAAAAATAATTCAGACTCAATGAATATTAGCAATGACCAAAAATGTATAACACCTAAGTACCTACATAAAAAATACTTTGTAAAAAAATAAGTAAAGCATTAGATAGGGATTATTTTAACAATTTTCGGTTTTTGTAATAAAACGTTATCATTTCTTACCTCACAGCAAGAAGCCTGTAAATTTTAAAAGGCATAACAGCAATATTTCATTATTTTTAATGTAGAATAACAACAGTAAGATTGCAGTAAAATCAAAACAATAATATAATAAAAAAATGTATTAAAAAAAAGTGAAATAACAGAATTTTATGTTTATTTATTAAAAATTAATTAATTAAAATTAAGTAAGTTTTTTCACTAGCACATATTTATACGAGATACCACTCTTTTTTGAAAAATGTTTTGAATCAGATCACGTTTTCTTTTAGAGCGGGACATTTTTGCATTCTTTGGGGACAATGGTACACATAACTTGAAAGTGGGTTTGTCTTGCCTAAAGCGGGACTTATGATGTTAGGTATGACTCAAAAATAAAAGTTTACTTCAGGTTGATTTTCATTTTTATCTCTTCCTCCTTTTTCGATTCAGTTAGTTTTGAACTGGTTTGAGACACATGCCTCAAGTTCTGGGCTGGAGTCCAGTTTAAATGATTACTAACTTCGAAGGAACTCTGTTTCCCTAAAAATAAGAAAGTCATACTTGATGTCTCTATTATTATACACTTTTATGTATCCTTGATATATATATAAAAAGATCACTTTTTGAGATGTATGTTATTAGTATCATGAGTTCCTTTAATTTATTGGTGCAGACCAGACAGTTGATTAAACACAATACACAATAAATAGCATTCTCATTCTGCTCTTCAAAGTATGATCTAGTTACAGTATGTTTTTATTTGTGTCAAAAAAATGTATTTTACCTGTAATAAAGTGACTATTACAATTTCTTTGATTAGTTTAAGTATGTAGAATTCAAGATCCATAGAGGCAATAAAAACATCATGACTTTACAACCCAAAATAATACAAGTTGTAGGTTTTTCGCCGTAAAATTGTCAAAACCACTTTCAGAAGGGTACTTATATAAACTCTAATTCACTGTACAAATCAATTCAACTCAAATTTTTTAAAAAAATACTAAAGTAAACAATTGACATAACCTTCTTTGTGCCAACCAAATGTCATTCCATTTTTTGACAGATTTGAGGTTGAGAAAACAAATCGTAAACAAAAATGATCGTTCAGCGTCATTCTAACCGCTTATGAAACATGTTTCTTTGCTTTTAAAACATGTTTGACGACGATGAACACGGCCATTAGTTCTATCCGAGCATTTACCATTGGGGTGGTAAAAGTCGACCAAATGGCCACTTTCAAAAAAGGGAACTACTAGAGATACCTATCGGCGAGGTTATTAATCTGCAGGACTTTGATGACCCGAGAGGCTGGTTGTCCCTAGACACCTATCGATGGCAACCAGCAAGTTCTTTAGCTAAGAGGAAGCTCCTACATGTTTGTGGAGGATGCCTGTAAGTGATGTGGAGCAACCCACCTTAGCGCAGTTGTTCTTTCATCTTTTCTTTAATGGGTTTTATTTTCAATTGTTCTCTAATGATTGTGTTTCTAATTATGTATATCCTTTTTTATTACAGATACTGGCGTAGTTGCCTTTTATATTTTCTTCAATAGTGTTACACTGGTTTTTGGTATCGCAATTTATTTCAACTCAACTTTACAATAACAATGCAACTGATAACATTAACATGTAACGTCTATCATAAAACTGAAACTCTGACATCAGGTCATCGACTTATATAGCTTGCTTGACCTTCTCGAATTGTCATATAGAATATTCTTAACGGGTAATGACATTTCTGGAATATTCTATCTTCTTTTACTTGTACTTTTACTTATGACGACCGCAGCACACTGTAGGGCGATGAGTAATATTCCACTTCTTTTTCTATCTGTACGTTTCCTATAATAGCCGCAGGCTACTGCAGGGTGCTGCGTAACATTGCTCCCTCCTCTCTAGTTATTCGCCCCGAATAACTTGACTACTGGGACCTAGTTGGAACCAATGAAGAGGATCTGGACCATGGAATGGAGCTATCTTCCCAATGTGAACTACGTTGAATTTACTTTCCGCTGACAGTTGAATGCGGCAGATCAGGTCGTTGATTTTCCTTAAGGACGGAGTAGGGGCCTTCCCAGTTCCGCTGAGATTCCTGACGAAGTCCTCCTCGCTGCTTGGGATTGCACACCCAAACCTTGTCGCCCCTCTCAAAATGTGTATCTGTGGCACGCCTGTCTATTCTAGCTTCTGCTTTATCGGTGTGGGCTTTCAGTCGTTCCCGAGCGAATCCATAACCTTTGTTCTGCCATTGCATACAATCACATTTTTTACACCAAGCCGCTACATCCCGTCGGCAATTGACCCAATAAAATTTTTCATGAACTCGTGCCAGTGTCCTTTTAGTATCAAAGTGTCCTCCTGAATGGCTGCTATGAAGCTCCTCCAATACTTTTCTCACCTGAGACCTCGGCAGTATCACTTGGCGGACTACATGTACTCCATCGGGGCTCTCCCACTTCCGGTGCAATAGGCCTTCGTGAAGATACAGGGAATCCCACTGGGTCCAGTAGCCTTTTATAGTTCTACTGTATTTGGCTATGTCTTGCCAAGTAGGTGTGACCTTATTTTTGAGCCATTCTCGAACAACCTTTAAGTCCTTGTCTTTCTTCTGTTCCTGTCTCAGACTTTTAAGGGTGATTTCTTCTTCGTCGCCCTCCGGCTTGATAGTGGTGGCCCGAAGAGTAACTTTATCAACCGGTTCTTCTCGTTCTTCGAGCCTTTTACCATACCAGCATTGTTCCTCTAAACGGGGTTGCCCGAAGAGAATGTCTGCATTGCTATGGAGACCTCCTCGATGCTCTACTTTCTGGTTATTGTTAGAAAGCCGGCTCGGTGTGGGTGATTGGCTTCTTCGGGACGCATAGCTGCTATAATTAATTCTTGTTGGTCTTAGTGATGGGCTTAGAAAGATTGATCTATATGATTTTCCGGTCTCATTCGCTGATTCTCGATTTATAGAATGGACCATGCTTCTACTGGTTCTTTGAAGGTGTCCGACTCTTCCGCAATTGAAGCATCTCCTACTTCCATTTTGGCTGTTTCGTTGTTTATTTCATATAATATTTAAAATGTGGGAAATAGCATTAGTATTGGCCTCGTCACTTTCCTGGGATTAAATTTCCCTCACCTTTGCGCGAGAAGATCTGCATAGGAGTTTTACCGCTTCATATTCCTGGGATGCAATCAGTTTCTCCTTCAGCGTCTTATGATGTTGTAGAGGAAGGACTTGCTGCATTTCCACATCTTATTGTCCATCAATGAATGCTTGTATTCCGAGTTGTTCTTGGAAATCTTTCGGCACCTGTGGATAGGCCAGATGAATCAACCTTCTTATATCAGCTTCGAATTCCTGTAGACTCGCATTATGTTTCTGACTACGAACCTTTAGCTGGCTTTGGAATACCCGTTGCAAATGCTGCTGGCCATATATTATCTCCAAAGCTTGGACGAGAGATGAATAACTAGGTTCTTCTTGGGGAAGTAATTGTAAAAAGGTTGCTGCCTGACCTCGCAGTGACACTATCAATGAAGCCGCCATCTCTTTCTCGGTCCAGCCATTGGCTCTAGATGCAGCTTCAAAGTGGAGTCGATATGATTCCCATGTTGTCTGACCGTCAAACGTGGGTGGCTTGAGGTTCTTGCTAGTATAGTTTTGTGAAACTGGGATTAGAATGTGGCTTGTTTCGGTTATGGATGAAGACGAGGTAGTAGTGTTTGAAGCTTCAATGCTGTTTACTGAAGCTTGGCTGTGACTTCTTTTTTCTAACTCAGCCATTTCAGCTCTAATTTGCCTTTGCAGCTCTACTCTAGCCTGTTCTTGTTGTTCTAAGTTAGCTTTTAAATTCTCTTGCTGTTTCTCTAAATTAACTTTTAGATGCTCTTGTTGTTGCTTTAACAGATCTACTCTAATTTTAAGCTGACTAACCTCTTGCTTGAAGGTTTCCTGAATTTGTAGCAAACCGTTCATAATTTCAATCGCTTCTTTTCTATGCCTCTCTTCCTTCTCCTCCTCTTGCCTTATTATTTCCTCCTTTTCTTCCTTCCTACGCCTTTCCTTTTCCTCCTCTTCTTCCTTCCTAAGCCGTTCCTTTTCCTCCTCTTCTTCCTTCCTGCGCCTTTCCTTTTCCTCTTCTCGCCTTACTCTCTCCTCCTCTTCTTCCTTGCTACGCCGTTCCTTTTCCTCCTCTTTTTCCTTCCTACGCCGTTCCTTTTCCTCCTCTTCTTCCTTCCTACGCCGTTCCTTTTCCTCCTCTTCTTCCTTCCTACAACTTTCCTTTTCCTCTTCTCGCCTTACTCTCTCCTCCTCTTCTTCCTTGCTACGCTGTTCCTTTTCCTCCTCTTCTTCCTTCCTACGCCGTTCCTTTTCCTCCTCTTCTTCCTTCCTACGCCTTTCCTTTTCCTCTTCTCGCCTTACTCTCTCCTCTTCCATCTTCAAAAACCATGCTGTTGAGCCTGAAGTGTCCATACCTGCTTCGTACTCAGTGGATCTAGTATGTACCATGAACTTCTACTTTGTATCCCACCGCTGTCACCAATGTTACACTGGTTTTTGGTATCGCAATTTATTTCAACTCAACTTTACAATAACAATGCAACTGATAATATTAACATGTAACGTCTATCATAAAACTGAAACTCTGACGTCAGGTCGTCGACTTATATAGCTTGCTTGACCTTCTCGAACTGTCATCTAGAATATTCTTGACGGGTAATGACATTTCTGGATATTTCTGGAATATTCTATCTTCTTTTACTTGTACTTTTACTTATGACGACCGCAGCACACTGTAGGACGATGAGTAACATTCCACTTCTTTTTCTATCTGTACGTTTCCTATAATAGCCGCAGGCTACTGCAGGGTGCTGCGTAACAATAGGTTTTATTTTTAATTTTTCTCTAATTTTTATGTTTCTATTTCTATATATCCTTACTTTGTTAATGATTTTTGGTAGGAATCCAACGTGTAGTAGATATGCATTAGGCATTTAAAGGTTATTATTAAAAATGATTTTTTAAACGTCTCCTATATTCGTTTTTTAACTGAAATATAATTTTCTAATTTTTTAGACTAATGAGCGATAATAATGTACTAGAAAATGATAAATGGAGTCCCATGGAAGTACGGGCGCAACCATTTCAGCAAACGTCGAGTGATTTTAGCGTCGGAATGGGCACTGCTACGTTCACAATGGGCATGATATTTGCCCTAATCCCGGTGACCTTGGCTACCGATATGGTTTATGACAGAGAAGTGAGTTCACTATTTTTTGAATTATCTTTATTAATTTTATGTAATGTTAGTTCATACTTGTTCTAAAGGCAATCGAATAAAAGTAAACAGAAATAAAAAGTATAAAAAATAAAATTCAGAATTAAAAAGTAAAGAAAAAATAAATACAAAAATGCCTAATTAATTTCCAGTGGAAAAATGGAGAGTACTTGAAAGTACTTTTTATCCAAAGCAGCTTTGCCATATCTACAGATCTTCAAAAATTTTCCCCAGATCTGGGGATAAAATGGGAAAGGAATCTTATTATCTACTATATTCTTCCATTTCAGATCAAAGGAAAAAACCAACTACGTGTGAACGGTCTCTCGTTTTTCTTGTATTTCATAAGCTACTTTATAGTATTGGCAGCGTTGATGGCCTTTATGTGTGGTATATTACTTCTCATAGTATTGCTGTTCAAAACGCCATCTTTATCCTCCTGGCCTGCGCTGACGACGATAGGCGTACTAATAATGTTTTACTGTCCGTCGTCGATTTTATTCAGTACCTGTGTTAGTTATATTTTCGACAAGGCCGAATCAGCCCAATCTATTATGTCGAACGTTGCTACTCTACTCGGTTGGGTGCCTTTTATATTGGTCATGATTCTCGGTAAGTACGTTTTAACTAAATTTTGAAAATGTTAAATTACACATGAAACTGGAAATATATTATCAATATTAATCTTATTGGTTCATTTTATTCTGAATACCTTACAGTGAGTTGAACAAACTGTATTAGGAACATGCACATATCAGGCAAAAACCACTGTCGCTCGTCGCGCATAAATCTGTCTGGTGTATATAGCGGGGCGAGAAAAAGTCGTATCAATACTCTCTGTTATTATTAAACTTTGTTCAATTCACTGTAGGAAATACTTTCTGTATTGAAAATTCTCAATCTCTATATATTATTGCTATTATTTTTAGATGGCAACGCAGCCCTTTCAGTTCATATCGTAATGTCGCTGTTGAACACCATGTACCTTCCGTACGCAATCATCTACTTCGTGCAACGGGTGGATTTGGCGTGCAAAAGCAATTTCGGTTGCACAGAATTGACGTTGTATAATTACATGACTCCTGAAATCGTCGTTATGTTTATCGGTCTAATTTTACACATCCCCTTTTGGTTTTTGATCCTTCTCATCGTCGACGTTAAAAAAAGCGGCGGTCGAGTCAGGGACGTTTTCAAGTTGAGTAAGGTTCGTATATAATTTTATTACCTCTTTTAATGTGCCCATTTTAATATACCTCTTTTTATATACCCATATTAGTGTACCTCTTTTAATGTGAACTAATGTTGCTTTTTTATTACTTCGTTTTTAAAGTGTGTCTATTAATATACATTGATATGAAAAACTTTTGGTCCTGTCTTTCAATCAAAACAATCCCAATTCGGGATAGGTTCAACTCTAAAAATTTAATTCAATTAATATAAATTATAAATTTTAAACAACACTTTTTTGTTTTATATAAATAAAGATTTCCTTGTTTTATTCGGTCATGTTTTTATTTTCAATAATTTAAACACAAGGAACAAATAAAAAGAGAACACCATAGGCTCTAGATGGAACTTCCTGGACTTAGACAGTCCAAAAGATTAATAGAGGGGCTATTCACGAGCAGACAACATCAACTGCTAAACCTTCGCAGAAGCGAACTCAAGGCCGTAATAGGACTCCTTACGGGACACTGCGGCCTTAGAAGACACCTAAATCTCAAGGATATCTGATGACTCATATGTAGAATATGTGAAGAGGAGGACGAAACTCCTATTCACATACTATGCCACTGCCGGAACCTTAAATTGAAACGGGAATGGTACTTCGGGGTACAATATCCGGAACCTGAAGAAATCGTGGAAGCGCCCATCAGACATATTCTTGAATTCATCAAGAAAATCAATCTAATGGGATAGAATATGTGAGGGGACAATAAGCCTAGAGCTTCAGTACAAGTGGGCTTTGAACCACGCCCTAATTCAGATAGAATATACATTGATATGGAAAACTTTTCGTCCTGTCTTTTAATCAAAACAATTCCAATTCGGGATAGGTTCAACTCTAAAAATTTAATTCAATTAATATAAATTATAAATTGTAAACAACACTTTTTTGTTTTATATAAATAAAAATTTCCTTGGTTTATTCGGTCATGTTTTTATTTTCTATCATTTAAACACAAGCAATACATATGTTTTGGAATTTTTTTCCATCTTATGGTGCCGTCAAAATTTAATAAAACATGGGAGACGATTATATACAGTTTAAAATTTAAAAAAATAATAATATTACCACTTTCTGAACAGCTTCCTGCACCTCTACCATCAGACCACTTGGTGTCCTTGGAATTCTGTTACTTCTTACTGTTATTTCATGGATTAATTCAATTAATACTAACGAATACAACGATTCTTTTGTGTTTATTGTAATTTTTTACCCTCCGACCAAATTTTATTTTGTATAATCATAATAATAACATAGTTACTTCATCTATCAAACTCCTAGATATTGATCCAAAACAAGATTATCTCCTGATCAGTAGCGTTCCCAAGGAATTCGTTTCCATCTCAATTCCCAAAATTTTATATTCACATATGTACTTGAATAACATTCAACACCCTGTGGTCCTTGTGTAATATCAAATTCCAAATCAACCCACGTTGGGCGCCAATTTTAAAGTACATTTAAGTTGTATATAATAATGTACCTCTTTTTAGAGCACCACTGAAAATTTTATGGAAGATGCAAATGAAGCGAGCGATGTCGGCGAAAATGAGGATCAAGATGTCAAAGCAGAAAGACAAAAGGTCAAAAATTTAATGCACAATCATATTATGAACCCTCCGGTCGTTATGGTTGAGGTAAGATATAAATTGTATTTGCGTTTATCTTTAAATTTTAAATGTCAATGTTACATATATGCTTCTTTTTTATTTTAGAACCTTCACAAAGAATATACTAACAAAGATTTACGATGCACTTGTTGCATGTGCTGCAAGTCAGAGGAAGAGATAGAACCAACAAAAATAGCGGTAAAATCGCTGTCGTTGGCTGTTGATGCGGGCGAAGTATTCGGACTGTTAGGACACAATGGTGCTGGCAAAACGACTACGATGAAAATAATTACGGCCGAGGAAGCGCCCACCAGAGGGCGGGTAAGTACACAAGCAAAAATCACCTTATTCGCATGGCTGGGAGGAAAGTCTCGTTGTAGAGAGAGTCTTTTAGTCATATATGTATTTATGAAAATAATGATAATATATAAATAATAAACATACAGTGTTAACTATTGAACGCTTTCCAATACGTTTTGCTAATGTCAAAGTGAAAACTACAGAGTTAGAATATGGCGAGCAGGAAACAAATAATATCAACGTTATCAGTTTAAACGGCCAGGTTTAAACTGGCAACTTTGATATTATTCGTTTCCTGCTTGACTAAATGCAAATTCCCTGTAGTTTTCGCTTTGACATTAGCAAAGCGTATTGGAAAGCGTCCAATATCTGACAATGTATATAGTAACGCGACGTCACTTTGCAAGGTTGTTTAGAATGAGGTTAGCTTTTTATAATAGTTCGCAACAGTATTAATAATAATAATAATAAAGAGAAAAAAAATGTTGTTTGTAGTAATAATACTACGGCCTCCCAAAATGAAAGTGAAACCAATAAAAACCTGTGTCGAGTGTCTGGATTTTGGTTGCTCGAACGTGTAGTAGTGCAACAGGCCTTCTAGACCTAGATATTTATGGTTTTCAAGTCCCCTAACACTTTACTAATCCATATTTTTTCTTAGTCTACCCTTATTTCTCTTAGTAATTGTGTTCTGTATACCATCTTTGGCATTTATTCTTTCTTTATTCCACCGCTTTACGTATTAGCCTTTGAACTTTCACAAAATTTGTTATATCTAAAACTGTGTACAATTCTTGAAGTTCTTTATTAACTCTTCTCCATCCTTTTACTGTGTTCACTCCACTATATATTGCTCTTAACATTTTCCTCATTCCAATTTGTGACATATGGCTTTCAAGTAGGTACCTACTCATCGATATTTTTCTTGGTCTACCTTTTTCCCATGGTAAATTGGGTTCCTGTAGATTATTATCTTTAGCATTTTTTGTCTAATCGACCACTCTACATGTCCCTTTGAACTCTCACAAAACTTATATTTGGACCTGTGTACAATTCTTGAAGTTCTTCGCCATCTTTATATTGTTTTCACTTCCACCACATTACAAGTTTCACAGACGTGCGTTATTGTGTTAACCTTCCAATTTATCGCAGAATCCAATTCCCGTTGAGCGTTGGTATGTTCGAAATAGCCTCTTTACGTTTTACGTTAATTTTTAACTGAAAACTAAAATACCAAAACATAACTACAATAATCTACAATATCCAAATAAGGTAACGCACAAGTTTCAACTGTCTATTCAACAGCCTTTGATAGCTGGTTTGGCTGGGAGTGAAGAAGGCGTGGTCCGTTTAGTACCAAATTTACAGTATTACAGGTCATTTTACTGTGGTATATATTCTAATGTTGCTAGTCTAGCTTACTATTAACTACTACTCTTACACATACATTTTTAACTTTCGAATTTTATTATTCAAAACCCGTACGATTTTCAGGTTCAAATAGCAGGCAACAGCATAACGTCAAACATGAATTCGGCCTTCCAATTACTGGGCTACTGTCCCCAACACGACGCCCTGTGGAAGAACATCACGGTGCGAGAACATTTGGAAGTCTATGCTTCCATCAGGGGTGTGCCTTACAGCGATATATCGCGTTTAGTCAATTTATATTTGACGGGTCTGCAGATCCACGAGCACGCAGACAAACAGACTCATCAGTGCTCCGGCGGTACCCGGAGGAAGCTCAGTTTCGCCATGTCGATGGTGGGTAATCCGAAAATCGTGTTGCTGGATGAACCGAGTACGGGTATGGATCCCAGGAGCAAGCGGTTCCTGTGGGATACCGTTTTGGCCAGTTTTCAGGTATGAACGATACTAGGCTGATACATTGACGTTTATTTTAATCGTTCTGCTTCAATTTCAGGGCTCAAAAGGGGCTATTTTAACGACGCATTCGATGGAAGAAGCGGACGCTCTCTGTTCGAGGGTGGGGATAATGGTGAAAGGAGAACTGAGGTTAGTTAATTTTTTTAATTTACCAACCCTTCCCTTCCTTTTTTTTAATACCTTTGGTTTCCTTTACACCTACCATTTCCACATTACACTCTCGCACTCTTTTCATCAACCATCTTCGACTCTTTTTGATATTCACATCTTAATAACCTCGTACATCACTTATTCGACGCTCAGTCTACAAAGGCTCCTTCAACGTCTCGCCAACCGTCGAACAAGAGAACTCGATGAAATACAGTTCGACGGGTCACTTCCTGAGCCGGTGTCCTTACAAACAGTCTTGGTAAGATCAAACCTTCGATCCTACTTTGCTTGCGTTGGAGTGAATAGTAAAGGGCACTCGGATACGCAGAAAAAGAAATAACACAATATCAACGTTGGCAAGCTGGTAACGTGTCGTTTCTTTTTTTGCGAGACACCAGTTATTACATCACATTACAAAAATATACAGAGTGGCCCAAAAGTCTGGAAACGGCCAATTATCTCGTAAATTGCTAGTCCTAATTGTACAAAATTTGGGGTACACCTATTTTGGGATACGGAGATTCCAGATTTGATATTTGCAATGTTGCCAGATTGTTTAAATATAAGAGATAAATGGAGTAAATTAATTTAAAGTTGTTATCAATGATCATTTGACAGCAGTCATCATAAAAGTTTGACCAACAGAGTCTTGTTTTTATCGAGGAAATGTCATAAAACATATGCGCGACCGTTTCATTTAGTAAACAAAACATCCTTTGACTCGAATCTCAACAAGCTTTGAATTAAATCTATAATAAGGAGACAGTAGATAGTAGCTTTGGTACATTTTTGGCATGTTGCAAAGTGAATCGTGAATCGTATCTACATTTTTATGTATGCGGTAACTACAGCACTGTTAACAGGAAAGTCTTTTGCAATAAAAAGAGTACCATAATTTTCAGTCCAAACATACTTTGAATATGTTTTTTAAAGTCCTCATATTTTATGTCCGGTGACACGTGTTCATCGAAAGTGTTTCAGGTTCATTTCATCTTGTTTAAATAATAAAATTAAGATGCAATTATCACGTATCAGGTGCTTCTGTATTTTCGAATATGTTTGACAAAGATATGTTATACAGCATCTACAGTAGCTTTGTTTTTGATTGCTAAGCAAAATCAAAGTTAGACTATTGAAGATTATTTTTTATATCTGCTGTCTCCTTATAGATTTAATGTAATGCCTATTCTAGAGGTGTTAGATAGAGAAGTATTTGCTGGATGCATATCGCTCCGGCGGTCTAGTGTTATGCTGATGGCTCGGCAATCCAAAGGACGCAGTTTCGAATCCTGCACAGAGCGGATTTTTAATTACATTATTTATTTTTCTTTGAATTTTCTCATTCCAAGTGATTCAGTAACTGATTGTTTCCACTTGTGTTGGCAATTTTACAAAAGTTTATATTTCTAAATCAAGAAATGAAGACCTGGCCCGAACGTAACCAAAAAAATTAATTTTACAAGAAACATTTTCAGAACAACAAAACTGAGGCCGAGGCAACTTTTGTAAACTAAAATGATCATTAATATTATGGATTTTAAGGCTAATTGCAGTAAGGATCGCACTATATAGTTGCTTAAAAAATTGGTCCATAGCACCTTTTCTGAAATATTGTTGGTTACAACCTTGTACGGGGCAGGTATTCAAATATTTAGAACGAGGCCAAGTATTCTCTTCACATTTGAACATTTTTTGCTGTATAAATTAATCGAAAATTGGGGTGAAGAATAAGAATAAGTATATCAGTATCTAAATATTTAAATTTAATAAAACCAGCCCAGCGCTTTCGGCTTTACAAAATTATCATCACAGTCTTCCTGAAATATAATAGTTTTACAATAAAATAATAAACTTACGTTCGGTCGATACCTCCACAAAAAAAATTGAATGTAACAGATTAAACGAGCAGACCAGCATTGTTAACGTGGACGTAAAACTACAATGGAATAAAATGAAAGAAAAAGTTGTCAAAAGGGTGACTTTAAGGAGAATTGAAGAAGCTGAGATTGGATGGGAGTTTGTGTGTGTATATACCGATGAGACTCGTGATCTAATTGACTTCAAATTTGGGAATTCGGATCAATAAGTATGGACGGCTCAAGTCCGATATTCTGGGTTCGACTCCTGGCTCATGCGCTCATTTTGTCGTTCTTTAATTTTCAGCTTTTTCAATTTTTCTTTAGTTTGTTTTTACTTTGGGGATATGAAGGTGTAATTTTCATAATTTCGTAGGGGGAACTGGGAATTTTTCATTTTCATAATTCCCAAAAATTAAACTATTTTTAACAATAACCCAGAGTTATTGAGTAATTTTAAAAATAATTTAATGGCTAAGTTATCCAACAGCGCGTCGTAGTAATCAAACACAACAGGTTACAAATGGTAACGTATAGAAATGTATTCCAGCAAAAGCCATACTAGCGGTAGCTGCGGATATTTCGTGCTAGGACGATATTTTGTAATTTTGGCATATCAACTACACGAATACATTTTTATTTTTTTCAAAAAAATAGGTAAAAACATTACAATAAATCGGAGTTGTTGTGCTGTAAATTTTAAAATTACTAGCAAAAAAACAGTGTAAATTATAAAATTTTTTAGTAGCAAAGTGGAAATTAAATCAAAGAAATAAATGGATAGCTGTACAATAAGAAGAAAAAGTACCTTTATTTTTGTAATAATAACAGTAATACTGGAAGTAGCAGTAGACATCAGAAACTTGAAACGTTCTAAATAAACAATAAATTATCATTTTACGATGTTCTTCAAGATCCCTTTAATCTTAAATGTTCAGCAAGAACTAGATTTCTGCCTTTGATTATTATATGTGGCTGGAATGCAATTTTGTGACTTACTGATAGGAAACCAGTTTTAATCATTCATTCTGTTTTCTTTTGAACAAAAATGAAAATATAAATAACAATCCTTCTGTTTATACATGCTATTATTTAATTTTTTTTTATTTTGACCGAATAGTTTAATTCTTTAAAGACTGAGGCTGAGACTTATTAGACTGAGGCAACTTCTCATACATTTTCCTGATGTCTTCTTATAAATACTGTTGTCTGCCTATATTTTATTATTGATTTTTATTGAATATACTTAGTTTCGTACGAAGGGGCCTCGCAGACGGCACCAAAATCAAGGACATTGACGAAGATCTTACCGAGGAATATGACATAGAAGCATTATACTTAGTTTTTTTAGTTTAAGCGGTAAAAATATATAATAATAATAAATTAATGTTTCACTTGTTTTACAAATCCATATACTTTTATCAAAATTAATATACACTCACCGGCAGAATTAACCGCCCACCCAATTATTTTTATTAATTTCTGAAATTTTCGGAGATTTTCGTCACTTTTTGACATTAATTGATATGACGCGACATTTTGACAGTAAATAAATGTTTAACTGTCAGTGCTGTCATTCTATAGCATTTTATTAGTAATTTGGTTCCAATTTGGCTTGTTTAATGTTAGTGTATTTACAATTTTTTTCTTTGTTAGACTTAATTAGACTTGTTCAGTGTTGGTGCATATTTTGTAAAATCGGTTTAAGTTAAGTTCAAAACAGTTTTATTCAAAACAATGCCACTGGGAGCAGAATCAATAACCAAGGCTGTAGTTCTATCTGATAGGTTATAGTCAACGTTGTATTGCTGGAATACTTGGTGCTGCTCGTGAAACAGTCAGAGATGCCATAAGGCGTTTTAGAGAAACAGGTTCTTACACCAGAAAGCCTGGTCAGGGCCGCCATCGCTGCACTTCAATGAGGTACGATCGTTTTGTAGTGAGCACGATTTTAAGAGATCGGTTCTGTACCGCTGTTGAAGTCCGTACTCGTCTTGCTGAGGTTAGAAATGTAGAGGTCAGCGAGAGAACCATAAGAAAGAGGTTGCCAGAAAAGAATCTTAGAGCGAGACACCCTTACCGAGCCCCTCAGCTTCGCCCGCATCACAAAACAGCTAGACTCCGTTTTGCGCGTGAATATAATATGTGGAATATGGATCAGTGGAAGAATGTTTTATTCTCTGACGAAAGCAGAATTGCTTTAAAATGTCCAGGTGGCCGCCAACGTGGATACAGACGTCCGACAGAGCGGTTTGCTCCTTGTGCTCTTATGGAAACTGTGGGTTATCAAGGAAGCTCAATAATGATATGGGGCGAAATTTCTTACGAGGCTCGTACGGATCTGGTAATTTTTGCTAGAGGCGGTGTAGATGCTCACAGGTATGTTCAAGAAGTTCTTCAAGAACATGTCATTCCTTTTGCGCCATATATTGGCGACGACTTTGTTCTTCAGCAAGACAACGCACGATGTCATGTCACTCGAGTGGTTACGCAATACCTTAACGAAGTTGGCATCAGAACTTTGCCATGGCCAGCACAGAGTCCAGACCTCAATCCAATTGAACACATTTGGGACAACCTAAAAAAACGGATTCGAGCACGAAGACCAGCTCTAACCACTATTCGAGAGCTAAAAACTGCCGCGGTGGAAGAATGGGAAAACATCCCACAAGCTGAGATTTAAGACATCATGGATACCATTCCACGCAAGCTTAGAGATGTGATCGGGGCAAGAGGGGGTAACACTCGTTACTAAAGTGAATTTTGTTAATAACAATACTTTTTTGTCGATAAATTTCATGTATTGCTCATCTTATTCAAAATTTTCAAAAACTGTTCTTCTTTTATTTTTTAAAATTAAACAAAAACTTTCATTTGATTGGTATTTGTTTGCTTTTTCAAGATGTACTTAGACATTAAAAAGTAAAAAAAAAATCAAAATTACAAATATATCCAACTAAATAACAAAACAATGGGGGGCGGTTAATTCTGCCGGTGAGTGTATATACTTAATACTTAATTACGAATTCTATTAAAAATTGTATTGTCAATATACTCAAAAATAGTCCATTATTACATAAATGAATTAGCGCTGCAGTCACGCACGGAGCGAATATGGTTCCGAAGTCGCAAGAACAGGGTTGACCATTGACATTTAAGAACTGATAGGGACAAAAGTGTAAAAGTGTACGTGTACAGTATTCCCAGATGAAAAAATATTTTTTTTTTAATTTCAGGTGCCTCGGTTCCACCCAACACCTAAAAAATCTTTACGGGGCCGGTTACACGTTAGAAATGAAATTGGGAGGCGGCGATTTGACGCCGACTTCGGAGGCGGGCGACAGGAATGACGAGCTAAGAGAATTCATATCGTCCTTGTTCCCTGACGCGGCTCTGCAGGAGAGTTTCGCTGACAGATTAGTATTCAGCGTACCCCAACAAAGTGTTCCTTCTTTGGCGAATTGTTTCAAACAGTTGGAAAAGGGTGAGTCTTTTTATTTTCTTCAGTATGTAAAATAATAATTGGTAAAATACATGCTGGGAATTTCATTATAAGCTTCAATTAGTAACTTATATCACTTTACAAAGTCAATTTTATTCCTTAATTATATTTTATTAATTTTTAATTTGAAATTTCCCACATGTGTATTAAAAATTTTTCAAATCATCTATGGCAATAAATAAATTGGTATCATGACTTCCTAATTTTTTAAATCTTGCTATCTGTGCATATATTTCTAGTAATCAAAAAAAGTAAAAATAAGTAAAAAAAGAGAAGTTATTTGACCGTGAAAAATTTTCCTAAGATTTAATCTGAAATAAAATGCTTTTTGTAGACATTTATATTTTTAACATAAAAAAAATATTTTTTGAAGCTCTGGCGCCCTCTACTTTTTGCATATACCATCGTAGCATAGTGATGAAATGAGATAAATTGTAGAAAATATTATTAACTACAAATTTTGTATGGTATATTTTCTACTAACCGTCCTATTGATAAATCGATTTAGAAAAAAATCGCGCGAAGGAAAGATTTTCTTTTCGGAAATAAAACCTATTTTTATTGTACTTACTATGTCTATTTGTCCTAGAGCCAACGTGAAAATTTGGGACTTCTTCTCTTATGGCTGAATTTATTATTAAATTGTACTATAAGTCAACGAATTCACATAAATGCGACGTTCAGACTGGGGCGCTTACATAACTATAGCCAGAGACAATCCAGCGAGACGTGTAACTCAATGTATATTTTTTTGTTCGGTAAAAGTTATTTGGGCGATTGTAACCACAACCAGTCTATGATGGCGCTACTAGTAAATAGCGGGAAAATTAAAAATGCTTTAGGGCGGGAAATTCAAACATGGATTCAGAAATAAATAATTTTTCTATACAAATTTACAGGAGAAACAAAAACTATTGTTTCACTGTATATTAAAAAATATAGAAGCTTCCAATAACATCAAATTTTTTATCATATAAATAGTCATTTTAATAAAGGAAGTTTTAATCAGTTTAATATAAACAGTGAACATAGTTTTTATTACTCTTGTAAATTTCGCTAAAAAAAACTTGAAAATTCTATTGATTATTAAATATTTAAACTTGGAAAAATAATACACCAAACTCTTCCTATAAATTATATTTTTGTAAGGTACAGAAAAACAAACTACAATTGCTTCGCTTAGAAAGTACCTCATATCATTTTGTGACAAATTACAAAGAAAGTAACAGTTGTTATATGTTCATAATATATTTAAAAACTAATGTAACAAATATTTTATAAAGTCATGTAAAAGTTTTCCTAGTCTCCTAATTTGGTTACTAGGTGGACCTTCTCCAACTAGTAGTCTAATCTATTCGATCTGTTCTGCAGCAGGAGGTACTTTTCAAACATAACAAATAATATTAATAATAATATACACTATTTAAAGATGAATACATTTTTATAACTTTTTTGTCGTTGCCCCTTTACCTGTCTCTTACACCACCAGGGTATACCTATTTTCCATATTCCCTTAATTATAGATTACCTTACAATGTTTGAATGAATATAACATTTTACCCATGAAAAATCTAATTTTGTATTTAACTCTTTTTCAATTTCATTTGAAACAATTGGTATATTACAATTTATTATCAAGGAAATCTTCTAATAAAGTTATAACAAATTCTACTTAAACTACTGGTTGTTCTGCAGGATAAATTAACTTTTCTTGAAATTGATCTCTCTCTAAAATCCAAAACCGACCTGATGTCCCCAAATTTATTTTCCAGTGCATCCTGATTTAAAATTCTGCCCTTTTGTGATTCATTTTTTTTTTCTTCCTTTAGAGTGGCTATTAGATGTAGGTGTATGTAAGAAATAGCCAATCTCTAATCATTTTAAAAGTCCTTTGCTAATACTACATGTGCAGATTTTTTACTCAGCATACAGGTAGGAACTTTGTGCTGCCATTAAAGCTGTCCAGACATTCATCTACCTACTTAATGAACAAAAGTAGCTGTAACAATAGATCTCTGTTCCAATTCACCTAAAATAATTATAGCCATTTTGTAATATATTATTAAACACACACATTATACAGTGGTTTTCTTAATAAATTGGAAATTACTTACCTCTAGAAAGAAATGTGTACAAAAACGCGAGTTTGGTTCCAGAAATTGCTCATGCAAAAAATAATATGCAAAAATAAACATTCCCCCCCAAAGAAAATTAATTAAACAACAAAATCAGACTCAAAGAAATAAACGAGCCCAAATTAAATTAATTTTAATAAAATGCACACGTTCATAACAACATTCATAACATTGTCAGTTGTCAGTTTTAATTTTTAATCGATACGTCGACGTCAAAAAACCAGCGACATCAGCGACCTCTTAGATTGGTGTTAGTTTTATTGGAGGGAGATAACTATATATAAAGATCAATGTAAAAGTGAAAGAAAGTCATATATGTAATTTAAATGGACCACCGAACAATTTTTCCTATTAAGTTACACGTCTCTATTGTCTCTGCTATAGCGGAGTCGGCCAATCGGGCGCGGCCGTTTCAAAAACGAATTATTCCAATATTTCAATACAAGGTGGCTAAATTAAACATTTATGAACCAGCACACTGAATAATACAGCGACCTCAAAAACCCCGGATTGATTATTTATTATGTTTAAACCATTCATATTTTTTTAAATTCATTATTTTTGTTGGACACAAAAACGGCCCAATATTTTTAATGGACTTTAATTCAGTGAAAAGCTATCTTTTTTATCTTGCTTTCGTACAAGCGTCCACTTTTTGAAAATAAGTCACGCGCATGCCCACTCACGCACCACTTTAAAACGTTGGAGAGAAAATGGTAGAGAAAGTAAATTTTGTGAAAAACAACAAAAACTTGAAAATAAAGCAAAAACCAGCTATAAGAAAATAAGTTACGCACATGCCCAAAATAAGTTACATTTTTGAGAGGCACCTACTACTTGTAATACCTATAGCTACCTAAGCGCCACAGTCTGAACGTCGCGCTTTCGTGAATTTAATAATAAATTCAGCCATACGAAAATAAGTCACAAATCTGCACGTTGGCTGTAGGACTATTAGTGATAAATATTTCAAAAATGTCAAAATTTTGAGAAAATAAGATAAACATTTCTTTCTATTTATGTTTGCAGCTAAAGTTGAGTTGGATATCGAAGAATACAGTTTTAGTCAAACGACGCTGGAACAGGTATTTTTGAAGTTCGCCCACGAAGACGAAAACGATGAATAGGTCGAAGAAGAGAATTGAATAGTTAAAAAAATAAACGAGTGTTTATTAAATTGTGATCCTAACTTAAATTAGCGTATATGCGTAAAATAAAATATGGGACCGTTTTTTCAATTTTTATAACTTTTTTGTTGAATGACGTTGAAGTTTTTTGTTGCTTTTGTTGTTGCTTTTATTCGAATACAGTGCGAATGTTTAGTACGGAAGAATACTTAACTTTTATATAAATTGTAGAACGTTCTTTCCTTCTCCGATTTTTTTTTATTACAAATTTGTCTTTTATATACGAACGTCGTAGTATTTATAGGTTTGTTCGTATTTTTAGATTTGCATGTGAAAAAGGGTTCGAGACATGTATATTAGATTAAAAGTGTATGTTTTCTGGAACAAAGTTCTTAACAAAGAGTTCTTTTTTCAGAACAATTCTGAACTGTTTTAAATAAATCTATGTGATTGTGGCCAAAATTGTGATCCAACCAGAACCCGTTCTAGTCAGACATGCGCATTGCAGGCCATTTTAAAAACAAAGATTAATCAGGAAACACCCGGGCATGTCCGGAATTTTGGCGTTTTGTCCGGAATGCGCAGGGTTTTATAAATTGTCCGGAGGTATATTTAAAATTCCGTATAAAAAGTTCTTTTGGCAGTTAAAATTAACGTTTTTTAATTATATTATAGGTTGGAGTTTTAATATTATGTCCGGATTTTTAAAGAAATATACGGAATTTTAATTAAGTTTGCTAGGAAATTGTATTTTTGAATATGGCCACCCTAGTTTAGAGGTTATTTTATATTGCAAATGACCTTAAATATTAAGAAAATATTGGAAATTGACTGGCAAACAAAGAAGAGAATGTGCTTTTTGGACGCCGGTGACGGACCTTTAAATGAAATTACAATTCCTAAAGGGAAAACTCATGTATTTATTTTTAAAATTGACACTACTAAAATCAGGTCACATAAAAAGGAAGTTTAGGGTATTTTACATTTAAATGTTGAAATTTTTTGTCAATGTCAGCTGTCAATAATGTTGATGGGTAGAACATAGGCGTAACCGTAGATGGGCATAACGTAATTAGTGTTGTATGTGGTTGTTTGATGTATGGAACTTGTACTTGTAGCAGCAGCATTTTGTATTTGACAAAAAGAGATGAAACCAAATAAAAAGGAATATTTAAAAAATGCAAAATAAAAACAATACAGACACAAATAGACTAATGACAATAAAATAATAAAGCGCAATGTTTTGACATGATTGACAAATTTGTTCAACACTTACAAATGTAAAATGCCCTAAACAAACGAGTTTTTTTGACATTACATGTGCACGGTAAAATTGATAAAAAAAAACAAAAAGTTAATGAAAAAATATCATACTTTTAACACGATTTCTTATGTCATCAGTCTCAATTTTATTTTGTTAGTTTGAACCTATGTTCAAAATGTGCTTCTGAACAAATAGTTCTGCGCAATTTGTGTTTACTATTTATTTTAAAGAACACAAACAAACCTATACATTTCAAGCAACTAAAAAATTTTGGTGTTTTTACGATTGCTATATCTTACCACCTATTTTTTTTCCGCCATTACATAACAGACACTGCTCATATTGGATGTCACGACAAACTCTGAAATGGAAATCAAATACGCTATATTAATGATGACTTAATTTGTGTTCTACTGATAATTACAGTGATAGTTTATAAAAATAAAGGTTATAGGCTCGGTTATAGTTACTCATTATAATTTTATTTCTATTATTTTCAAGATTGTGAATAGTTTTCAAAGATAATTTTATAATTAATACTACATGATGGTTTTCATGAGTCCGGCTCGAAGGACCATGAATATATTTCAAAGTTAATTTTGTAATTAATACTACCAGATGGTGTTCATTAATCTCTTTATTTTTAATTTGCACCTAAATTTATAATATCACAGAATAAACAATAAAAAATAACAATTAGCATTATTTAATAATTTAAATGTTCAATAAAAAATATTATTTTAATTTCGATATTAGTTCAATGTTTTGAGAATGATTAAAAATAGTTATTACAATATACATCGAACGTGAAGTGAAATTGGAGCAAGTTTATAGTAACTGCTTATGAAATAAACAATTTAAATAAAATAATTTATTTCATATACAGGATGTTAATTTGATATATGTATATAAAGAAAAATGTTCAAATCTGAACAATATTGTATTCACTTAAACATTTAAAATAATTTGGTTACATACCTTAAAATGCTTTTTTATGGCCTGCAAACAATATTTAACAAAAATTAAAAACATATTTTAATATCAATGACATATGTTAAAAGTTAATTGTTGCAGTAGAACACAAATTACGTCACACTAATATAGCTTATATACCTGATTTTGATTAGTGATTAAAAATGTATATACCTACTTTGTTGTTAAACAAGTCCTGAGCCAGTGTCAACTTTGTTTTAACAAATACAGGTTGTTTCTATTTCTTTGTTTAATGACATTTTGTAATGATAAAAATACGGTTAAAATAGGTGATTTGTAAAAAATAACATTGAATGTACATTTAGGCGAGTTGGCGTAACCAGTTTATAGTAACGACCATTTTTATTTAGCTGTTTTTTATACAAAAAAAAAAACACTATTATGATATCTCATTCGCTGTTAGGGAAGTGGAATGTAGACTCGTTTTAATATTCGTTCCATATCCAACTTCATCAGTCCATATACTTTCTTTTTTCTATGGGCTTAATCAACTTTTCCATTTCACTTGGTATTTAGTTTAAAATCTTATTTCAAAATTTTGGATAATAAATTGTCAGGGAAGCTATATACTTAGCCCAAATATATTTTTTTTTTTTGTTTAGGGTTGTAAACAGATCAACGCTTATTAATAATAATTATAAAATATAATTCTCACTTTTCATTCGCTCTGTATGATGAATCTATACATTATAATCTAGTCAGTTTACCAAAAAATTATTTGTTAAGAATTAATTAATATTTTTTGCTGTTATTTATTTATACGAATATTACTTCATTGCTGGGTAATTTTAAGGCCTAACTCTTTGATGTTTTTTAGTGTGGATTATTATTTTCAAAAAAAGACAAATAGTGCCTCTATTAAAATTGTATATTATTGCTTGCATTGTATACATTCTTTTGCAAAAACTAGGTAGGTACTCGATAATAAGAAAAATCGTACTTGAAAAACTTGTTAAAAATAAATCCTAATTTACACTCTGTAACAGAGCAACCTATAGATTTGGAAATAAATATTACATTCTTGAATTCTATTTTATTTAGGTATAGCAATATCTATTTCTTTCACTATTTACTTTTTAAATTAAAACGGAGGTACAGTTATATTAGACAATAATTTAACTAGAAACACCGCTAAAAAAAACCAATAATACGGCTTCCATTCGAAATTGTTCCAAAAAAAATTAACTATGTCTCAATACAATTATTCACAAAAGTAGTCTCGGGGATGACATTAAAAATGTTATGACCTAAACTCTGTATTGGAATACAGTAAGCCAATTCATTATTTTTCTCTACCTCGCTGAGATATAAACCAACTGGACGACTATCGTATCGTTGGCAATGAATTATTATATTTGATAAGAGCAGGGGCCATACGACCCATATTAACTATATATAAAACAAGATTGTTGATAAATAAAAGAAAAAATTAATATTAAATAAATAACAAACAAGAAACCGTTGGAACAAACAATGAAACAAATAAAATGTTAATTTGAAAATAAAACATCAAATTCGTTCTTGCAAACAAATTCCAAATGGAGAATATTCGATTACATAAAAAATTGCCTCGATTTAGTGATAAATGGTAATTTTTTCAGCTTCCATTTATGGCCACATAATCGATTTTCACTGCCCACGATAAACATACGAGTACATTTTAAGTTTTCAAAATTATATTTTAAAATACGAAAACAAATTATCTATCACCCCGCAGATTTTCAAACGTTTGTAGTTCAGCCATAGTAGTATCTTAGTGTAACTAGAGTTGCGTTTGAAATGTACCTCTTCGAGCAGAGCGAGTAATTTTTTCGTCACGTGACATCGAGCAAAAACCACAGATATGGATAGCAAACCATATCAATATGGAGCAAACGGAACTTGGGTATATTAAAAGAACGCTATCGAGTAAAAAAGCAGAACAAGGTAGGTACTTTTCAAACGTAGCACATGTCGCATACGCCCGAAAGATAGTCTCGGTGACTGACGTTGCACATTTTCATGAATCTAATTTTACCTCGCACTAGTTACGGAGACCATATAGATCTGCAGTACTCCATAATCGGACGAATGTTTAATTTATATACCCGGATGGAATTTTAAAAGACAATTTTACGAATATCATCTTTTTGTGTTCGCTTTTTTTGACACTTGGAGAACGTGTTCAGATCAACTGAAATTTTAAGTAATTATAACACCTAGAATATTGTAAGATTTAACTTTACTTAACATCTGACTGTTTAGAAAGTAATTATGACTAGGATTTTACTAATATGGAGAACTATAATACTTTTATTTAGTTTTTTCCATTGAACTCCCCATCAGTGAAACGCTACCTGCCGACCTAATCAAAAATATGGCACAGCTCTGGGATGCTTAGCGGCACTACAACATATTCGCTTTACAGAGTTTTTGGAGAAAATACAGTAAAAATTACACATATGCATTATTGGTTGCCTAAATCAATTATCAGGACTGGATCGCCTCGTCCGCCCGCCTGTTTTTTATTACGATATTTTTTTGTCTTGAACTTACTTGCTCTAAAATTAAACGAAGCTGTAGCGGAGATATTCTGTGATTTGACTAAGATGTTTTATTGTGTCAATTATAGTTTTGTTGCAAAAATTTGTAGTTTACGGAATCTAAGAAGAAGCGCTGATAAAATCTTAACTTTCAGAACGCAAGCAAATGGAGTTATGTACTCTCAAGTTTTAAGTTGAGATTCTGTTTTGAGTTCTATTTTATTCCTCATTTATATAAATGACTTAACTAGGGATTGCAATCCAGCAGCGTGTTCAATCCAGATGGATTTTTACTGGACCAACATCATTCAAGATGGCTCCAGCACAGATGCTGCAATTTACCGATTTTTTAAAGATGAGAAACTTGTAATACTCCAGAAACTTTTATTTTTGACTGGTCACTAAAAATCAGTAAAACTTCTTAGATATTTAGGTAGTAAACTTAACTTAATTTCCTCTTAGTTAAGAAATTGTTGTAACTAGTGAGTAGCATTGAAACATTTATGAAAAATAAAAATGCCGCAAATGGAACATAACCTGCGAAGCTTTCACTATTTTACCTTCGACTTCCTTTCCTTGTTTTCCATATATAATTTTTATAGCATTCTGCATACCGTCCACGAAATTTCTTTTCTTTTAATTTTTAATCAAGTAATATTTCGGTTCTAGACGTGCACTTTGTCTTCTTGATACTTCAGCTTGGTCTTCAGCACGATTTCTTTCAAACATTGTTGTGGTTATTTCCTCCCTAAACTACGTGATGACCATCTTTTTTGTTATGTATTCATTATATAAGAAATGTGAATTTACTAAATTTGTATCCCAACCAACTTTGAATTGAAAGTTTACGACACCATTTTGTACAACGCCGCAGAGCTAGTCCATGTTTCCATCTAAGTTCGTTTTTAGTCCAGATGTTTTAGTCAAAAAAAGTCTGAAATCTCACTTTTTATACCATTTGGTGCACTAGTACACTAATTATCTATACGTATATATGGTTCTTTCTTCATCTAATCTTCGAGCCATCTAATAGACCATCTGTCAATGACATTAAGTATTTTTCAGAAACCTGAGTTACCGCAATATACCATCTTACTCCAGATATACTCTTTGTCTATACAGAGTTTGTAGACCTTGATGCCATATTTGGCTGCTTTTTTTGGGATGTACTGCCGGAATATCAATCTTCTATGCCAAGGATGTATGTCTTCTGATAATTTTGAATGAATTTATCAAACAATACTCTTACTTTATAAAGTCTGTCACTAGAATCACCAGTAGAATTATCGGAAAAATTTATATATTTCCATATAAGCTAGAATAGATTTCTAGGCATTACTGTCCGAGCTAAGGGAGCGCTGTAATATTTATGCATCCGCCAATAATCTTTTATTGCCTGTAACTTTACTAGACCAAAAAACAAATCTAGCAAACCGGCAATACTGGTAAAGTGTACGCACAGACGACCAGCGAATTTTTTTTTGCATATTCGGACTCTGAATTATCGGAAACGTGAAAAAGTCTTATAAAGTGCAATGCAATACTGAGGCCTCATAGGAGGGCCTTAGTAGTTATTAGAAATGTAAGAACCATATAAAATTGATAAACAAATAACTTTCTTCTGGATGTTTTGCATTCAGAACTGTGTGGCTAAAGAAATAGTTTTCAAACCTGCTAAAAGTGTATATTACGCTCTAGTAGAGTAGTCCCATTTAAAAACTAAACATTTTAAATTACCAAGACTGTGAAATAATAAAACAATATTTTTCCTTCTTTATTAGGAAAAAAAAACAAAAAAAAAACTAAAAGTTTCGAGACTCGAATCACCAACTTGCTATCCACACTATCAAAATTTGGATAGTGTGGATAGCAAGTTGGTGGTTCAAGCCCCGAAACTTTTAGGTTTTTTTTTTCCTGAAAAACAAAAAGAAAAAATATTATTGTTTTATTATTTCACAGTCTTGGGGTAATTTAAAATGTTTAGTTTTTAAGAAGTATATACTTATTCAATGCATAGTGGCGCATAACGAGGTTCATTCATTTTTATGTTGACCGGTAATTATAGTCTATTTTTATGTATGAGAGAGTAATAAAACAGCATTTTTAATGCAAAACTTAGTACGGTCATTTTAAATATATTTACAGAATAATATATTTCCTAAAATTGTAATAAATGTACCTAAGCTATTATAAGTTTTGGGTCTTTTATTGGTCCTTTATAAACATAAGCTGTACAGAACAATAGAAAAAGGTTTGGACAGGCCAAAAGCCCTGTGTATTAAAGATTACATAGCCGTATCTTAAGATTATTTTCAATAAGTACCTATTTGCCAATTTTGTTTTATTTTAATTCCAAGAATTTCTTACAGTAATCGAATTATAAGTCGATAAATACCATCCCAACAAATTTCACCGAAAATGCAATTATAGGTTTTCCATTTAGTAAGGAGGTCCAAGTTGTGTATTTTTGACAGTTTACTAAATGTCGTTTAGTTGCAACTTGCAAGGTGCAGTGTGAATTCTAGTGATCATGGAAAATTTGGAAGAGCCGCGTAAACGACAAAAAATCGGTCCTTTAACAGTTAATGAAAAAACATTAATATTTAATTGTTTTAAATCATTTACAGACAAACATTTATGTAAAAGTGTTGATGACACAGTGGAATTAGTTAGTAGTACGCTTGGTGTTGGGAAATCTACGATTTACAGAGTTGTTAAAGAAGAGAAATGTGGCGAGTTTCAAACAGCACGTAAAGCTCCAGGAAAACCAAAATTTCAATTAGAAAATCTTTTGAAAGAAAGTGCATGGGTTCTTCTTTAGAAAAGAATTTCCGACAGTAGACAAAGTTCTTGCCACGGTTCGAGATGATAAGGATTACCCTGAAATGAGTCGAAGCACACTATGGAAACTTAAAAAAAAAATAGGTTTTCTATGGAAAAAGCATTCCAGAAAGTCTATTTTAAGAGAAAGAAGCGATATTGTAGTATGGAAAAGAAATTACCTAAGGACTATAAAATAAATGAGAAACCAAAGAAATATATTTTATTTAGATGAAACATGGATCACCGAGGGACATAAACCAAATAAATTTTGGCAAGATGAAACTGTTACAAGTCGATGTTACAAGTCGAAGACAGGCTTTTTTAAATAATTTATCTACTGGTTTAAATCCACCATCAGGAAAGAGGCGCAGACTAATAATAGTACACATCGGTAGTTCAAACGGTTTTGTTAAAGGTGGTTTATTAACTTTTGAATCTACTCGTACCGGTGACTACCATGAAGACATGAATACTGACGTCTTTAAAGAGTGGTTCGAACAAATTATAGATCTTGTTCCTCAGAACTGTATAATAGTAATGGATAATGCAAGTTATCACTCGAGACTTATAGAAAAAATGCCCACAACCAAGTGGTTAAAAAAATATTTACAGAATTGGCTAAATTCAAAGAATATTAAGTTCCATCCCGGTTCTGTGAGAAAAGAACTGTATCATTTGTGT